AAGCAAAACGCCAAACCATATGCTGAAAAATGCTGGCTCCGAGCCCAAATAACAGGAGAAGGGTTGCTTCCGTGTTTTTTCTTTCTTTTTTTTTTTTTTTTTCGGTCGAAGAAAATAGCCAGCGAAAAACCTCAGACGGACCCAACGGGGCATATCTGGGGATCGATGCCGAGGACACGGTCGAACGGGGTTTGCGATTGAGAACTACCAGCCACTAGTGCATCGTATCCTCGGTGATGTTGGGCAGGTTTTGCTGAAGAGCGAGGAACGTGGCTGGGTTCTGCATCATTGAAGAGAGCAGAGTTTGGTGCTGAGCCCTCAGATCCGGATCGCACATTGGTGAGTGTTGCTTGTGCTTCATTGACCAGTCTGTTAGCACCCAGCCGCAAAACCCAAGATATGAACTCGACAAACTTACATATTTGAGCCCATTGAGGTTTTTATAGCGCTTCCCGCAAACATCACATTTGAAAGGCTTCTCTTTCTCCATGCCTAGCGTTCCAGGATACGGTGTACTGGTCTCCGGATTCACAATCGAGAAGGTGCCATCGCCATTTTCGTGCAGCTGTTGTGTAGAGTGCCCGTGGGTTTTGTGGTACCTGGTACGACGGTTAGTCTATCAGGCCAAGGATAGCGTTTGGACGAGCAGAACGACTTACTTCAGGCCATTCTGATTCTTGTAAGCCTTTTCACAACCAATGACAGGACACCTAAACGGCTTGTGCTCTTCAGCGGGCGGCATTATGAGTGCTGTCATCTGCTGCAAGAGCATTGCCGGGTCGGTGCCCGCTGGGAACTGGCTCAAGTCAAGGTTCATGGTTTGCAAATGCTGCTGCAATTGTTGTTGCATTTGCATTTGCTGATCAAAAGCCCGCTGTTGGCTGGTCATCTGCGTCGTTCCGCCGGGGCTATACAGGCGCTTTGCGGGATCGTCAATCGTACCCAAGGCCCCGAATCCAAGACCCAAATTCAGGTTGCCAAGGCTCATCTTCATGGGCATACCAGGGATCTCGTCGTCCTCGTCGCCATTCCCATCCTGAGCGAACTGTTGGCCCCTCTGCGGCAGTCCTTGCTGGGTTGTCAGAGTCGGTGTGTTGACGGATGAGACGGTCGGATTGTTCTGAAACCCAAAGCTAGCAGCTGCGGGAGTGGGAGGTTGCGAGGTGCGGAGAGCTTGGTGAGGAAGCACGGAGCTGTTCAAGTGTAACTGGGGCCTCTGTTGTTGACCAAAGAGCTGGCGGGTCTGTTGAATGGTGCGCTGATTGTCATCCATGTCCATCGGCCCAACTGCTTCATCTAGTTCCATGTCGCCAACGGCGTCCATGTCATCATTGATATGGGACAGCGTGTTGGACTTCTGGGAAGCCGCTGAAGGCTGTTGCTGTCGCATCATCTGCCCGATCCCGCCCATGCCCATGCCCGCGCCGACCTGGCGCTGTTGGGGGAAGCCATGCATCGACTGTGACGCCTGTTGCGCCCTTCCTACCGAGGGGGTGACAGACGTGGCGCGACTCGCGGGACCGCGGGAGTTGGTCTGACTCGTATTGCCGAAGGCATCCCTCGAGCCGCCTGGTGTTGCCGCCGCGTGGTGATTCTCCTCGTAGTGCTGTAGAAGATCATGAAGCGTCGGCCATGTGCGGTCGCAGCATACAAAGTCGCGCATAAAGCTGGCTTCCAACCTGGGAATGTACGAAGACGAAGTGTAGGAGCCGGACTGGTGATTTACGTACGGCGAGGTGCCCGTCATGACCATGCTGTTGTCGGCATATTAGCCCTGACTCTGGAATGCGCGGCAACCCCGACCGAGACCCCGGAACGGGTTTCGTGTCGTCGGCTGACAGACAAAGCGGGACGAAGATCTTGTCCAATAAACTTACTCTTCTCGGATAAAACTCCCAACAGAAATGCCTCCCCAGCTCATGCCGCCCATCATGCTGCCTGCAAGACTCTCACGGCGGCCGCGGTTGGCATGGTCGCGATTCGGGTTGGACATGGAGATGGGCTTGGCACCTGCGCTGACGAACGAGTCATGGCGACTGCGGCCGGCGGCCGAGTCGAGGTTGGGACCGGTGGTCATGTCGGTATCGATGCCGAGATCAGTCGCGGTCTCAAAGTCGAAAAGAGTCGAAACGCGGCGGGGGATGCAGTGGGCGGCGTCGTCGTGAGCCAAGTCGATGTAATTGAGCGCGTTCGCCGTGGGTGACGCAGAGGGAGAAATATTTCGCGCCGGCAGTGCTGTGATGGCAATCGGCTTGGCGGGGGCGATGGACGCTGAAATGCTGGGGTGGCCAAGTCCAAGGTCGGGGTCGCGCGGAGTCGGCGGTTGGGGTGTTGGTGAGGGCGAAGGCGACGAATGATGGAGAGAAGAAGGCGAATCACTGGCAGAGACAGAGGCAGAGGCTGGAGGCCATGTGCGGTGGTTGCAGTGATTATTTCGATGGGGCACCACAGCGGGCTCCGCAGGCTCGGGGCTTGTCTTCGAATTAAACCCGTTAAACCAGGAGCGCCGCATGGCAACAAGGACCTGACGAATGTGGATAGCGCAGCCTAGCCTCGGATGCGGGATGGAACCTCGGGCTCCTGAGAGGTGGAACGGAAACGGTAACGACGGAGGAACCAGGGACAAGGCGCTCGCTCGTTTCAGCTCCGCCTTGCGAGCAATAAATTTCGCCAATCAATGTAGGGTAAAAAAGGAGTAAAGGGAGAAAAAGAAGTAACGGGGAAAAGGACTAAGGGAAATGATGTTATCGCCGCTTCACTGTCAGTCAGTTTTGTCATTCAGGAATCGAGTTTCCCTTCTGCTGCAAGTCAGCGTCAGGGCTGCTTCTTTGCAATGGTACTAGGTACTGTAGGTGGTCCTGCGTACCAACATACAGTGCTGCACAGTACAGTACAGTACAGTAACCCCACCTCGAGTGCGCTCAATGGACCGCAATGCCTAGGGTCGGGTTTGCCGAAAGTTGAGGGTAGAATGGAGTCGAGTGCCGCTTGTAAGATGAAAGGGCGGCTCTTACACTACCGAGAGTGTGAACCAAACAGTCGACGATGTACACGGCGAGATGATAAATGGTGACAGCAGTGGATGAGTTACGACCGACATCGTCACTGAGAAAGCACGAATGTGAGAAAGGCCCCGATCTGGATGGGTAGGCAAAGGGAAAAAGGATGAGAGATAAGTTAACTGGGTGACAGCAGTGATGGCAAGAATCGGTAAGTGTTCCGGTAAGTGCTCCGAAACCTCCAAGCGAATGAGCTGCTGGCCCAGGCACACTCTTACATCAAGGAGGGTAGCTAGACAAGCTCGAGACAAGTTAGCCTTGTCGACCTTGGAAGTTGACGTTCAGAGCCCCGTGCAGCACAGTATATACCTAACCTTAGGTAGGTATGTACATGCAGGATTCTATGTTCCATGTTCTTCAACCAAATTTGGGGTGAAACCCTACTAATATCGCGCGTAGTAATGTACTGTACTGTACTTGAGAGCGACTCGTCCTGCTTCGAGGCAATCCAATCATGTATTATACTCGTACTGTACAAGTAAAAAGGGTGTAGGAGGTGCCCATTGTGAGAGTAGCAAGTGAGGTGCAACCACAACCTTGCTCGTTGCCGACCGCCCGGTCCGCCAGCCCCCGTTCCAGAAGACCGGGATGGCTTGGCTTGTCGCCCAAGGAGCGGCGCTGGATCCACTTAATCTGCATGCACGCACTGCACGTCTGAGTAGTTCCATCAAGTCGTTGTTGAAGATCAAGAACACACTTTCGACACTGTACGGAGGTATGTACACGTAGAATCGTTGGAATCCGTGATTATATCTGCGATTTTGTGACTTGGCTACAGAATCTGAACGATAACGTCAGTCTCGAGGTTCTGCTAAGAATGATATGTAGTAGTGAAGACCGACCTGGAGACAAGTCTTTGTACGGAGAGTACCAGCACAACATCGTGTGCATCGTATGTACTGTGGGTACGTTATGTACAGTATGTACTTCGTACTTCGTATAACCAAAGAATTTTGCCCAAGACATCTCAAAGTCCTATGTACTACTATGCATCTCTACCGGAGCGACGTCTCAAGGGATAACGTTATTGTAAGATGGTGCCTACCTCTACTGATAGGTAGAGCCTCTGAGAGATGGAACCAGCGCCATGGTGTAGAGTAATACCTTTTATATACACCCAAGCGCATACACCAGCCAACCTGCAGGAAAGCCGCAAGATCAATTGCCACTTTGACAGTGACTGAGTCATAACCCAAACCCTCTCGCCGTTCGCCGCCCCCCCATTGCGTCTTCAAGCCCCATGCCGCTTCTCTCCTTGCTGGTAGGGACTAGATTTACTGGTGTAGCCACGGCGGGAGCTTGTGTGTTTGTCTGCGGTGTATAGTATGTACTTTGTACATTGCAGGCCTCGAGGTAATGAGTGCTTCCGGTCACCCACTTGATGCTTCCAAAGATGGGCTGCCGCCTGCTTGGGAGAAGAACGTCTGGTCGCGGCTTCCCCGAGAGCGGTGACTTTATTCCGGGGAGCCCCTGCAACAGGAAACGCTTTGGTTCTTGGGCCCGTTGTGCGCTAGGCTCGGCTAGGGTGCGCAATTCTTCTACTTGTTCGACTGGATTCTACTGTGGTAGTGTATCGAGGAGTGCAACGTTAATGCAAGTATTGTAGTGTAAAGAGAAAGCCCCAGATTTTCCCTAGCAAGGAGCTGTCAACATGCCTGTGGTCATGTTGCTTGTGCTGAGAAGCGCCAGAGCGTATAGCGGTACAAACAGTCAAAGAAGCACAGTGAGATCTGCAGGGGAGAAGGGACAATTGGGCCACGCCCCTTGCAAGAATGCAACCTTCTTTAAGCTTGACATGTCACTGATTGCCCTCGATGGCGTCAGCATTTCAGCCATGCCCGGCTGGCCGTCTGCAAGCAATATAGAACTGCACCTCTCTCGTCATGATAAACCGTCTGTCAAGGCATCATGTAAAGAGCATTATCCGCATCTCCGTACGTATGTACATATATACACTTATTTTTCCCAGCACGTCTCTGATGGCGCCGTGTTGCTCAAGGTCCAGCTCGGTTTCAGGGTCAGGGTTACAGTTGAAACAGAGCCTGTGGAGTGCGGACCATCTCGACGTACACTCTCTCGAGACTCCCAAGACGAAGGTTCGCGCCCGGGCTTGATTGAAGGCCCCCCCTACCTGGTTGCCTGGGGACTCCAAAATTCCACCCAAGTTCCAGAACGCGCGGTGGACGGGAACCACAAGTCCCTTGATTAGGTAACGGATCGGGTCGTGGCAGACAGACAGTCCATCTGGCGTGCATTCATCAAATTGAAGTGTAGGGCCGAGTGTAAAGCCGCAAATGTGCAGGGGGCAGTCCTGCATGTACTGTACTGTACATGCTGTACACACTATACAATAGTAGATTCCGGCCGCCTTGGAAGATCTTGCACCCTCAAAATGAGTTTCCAGCTTGTTACTCGAGTCTCAATCTGTTCGTCACTCACTCATTGGGGCAAGCAGACCCGCGCCTGATGAATCTCGAGAGTCAAGAGCGATACACGAGCAGCATGGTATTGTACAAGTACCTACGATGTACAGAGTAGTCACATAGTATTCCGTCCTCTACCAGCCCTCGATTTTCGAGCGTCCTGGGCATGAGTTGACCAATTGGTGGATGGAGGTATATTGTACGGTCCCTGACGCAGTTACCTAAGGTAGTCCCTTGCCCGCGATTTAACTGGCACTGCAAAAACGGTCTTCCGCTTTTTCAAGCTACAAAAGTATTAACAAAAGGGTATATTCAATACATAAATGTTTTGAAGACTATATAGAAGTCGATATCGAGATAATTGGCACTTGAAAAGCTATCCAGCGTTTGTTTGGGTATCCAATTTGCAGTGATTTCAAGTGTGTTGTTGATGCTTTCCTGCCTTCTTGAGGTTTTGCAGTGCCAATTAAATTGCGGGTGGGGAGGTAGTGTAGGTACTGGTCCCGTCGATGTCCCAAAGCCGGCTCCGGACGCTTCCGGGTCTTGACGGAACGGTAACTGGCGAAGGCAGCGACAGTGGGGCAATCTCGATCGCTTTTCGGTGTTCGGCCGGCATCTTCCACCACTGCCCTACATTACACGTCCATGTGTAAGCAACCGCAGCATCACATAGAGACGTTGCCGTAAGCAGCAACTTCCACAAAAATAGCCCAGGATGCATACAGACTCGACAGACTCGACAGAGTAGCTGTCGTTACTCTTTATGCAAGGTAGCACAGGACCCTTGGCGCGCACATACGATGCTGCTCCACGGGGAAGATTCGGAATTCGCCTGACATCACAGATTTCCTCGGGGATGCAAGACATCACCGTTTCATCACAAGCTCGTCCCAAGTCTTGTTTTGCCTGCGATAGTCTACGTATGCCGAAAAAAAAAGGATGCAACGTCTCTACCTCTCTTTCCAACGATATATATCTAGAGCGACTTAGCAATCGCGCCTTACCGACAAATGCTTGTATATACAATACCTACCTTACTCTGTACAGCTACGCATCGCGTTGCGGCAAAGAAGCAGGCAAAAAGAGCATTCTAGGTCTGGATCCACTTAACCGTTAGAAGCAATCAATCGTCCCACTTCTCCGCCGAGACCGATCTCGTCATACCACAATTTTCCGGCGCCACCAAACTTCCCGATCTACGCCGCAGACGGGAACAAAAGGAAAACAGAGGCTGATTTCATGTAAATCCTAGCCTTCGCATCTCTGAGTGTCCTCTCCGCAAACAAGGTCGAACCAGAAACATCCGCCGCCATGAAGGTCATCAGCAAGGAAGAAGAGCAGGAGCACTATGGACAGGTGATTAGGGGTGGTCTCGTTGGTGGCACCGCCGGTCTCGCACTGGGGCTTGCCGGCGTCATTGGCGCGTCGCGGCGATACCAGGCCTTCCGGTCCCTGACGCTGCCGTTCCGGTCGTTCCTGGTGACGTCGTCGGCCACGTTCGGCGCCATAGTCGTGGCCGAGCGGTACAGCATCAACTACCAGCGGTCGCACGACAGCATGCACAACTATCTCGACGCCACGCACCGCGCCGCTGAGGAGGCCCGCCGCGCCGAGCAGACGGAGCGCCAGCGCTTGCTGGACTGGTGCCGCGAGAACCGCTACAGCATCGTCTTTGCCTCCTGGCTCGCCTCCATGGGCCTCGCCCTCGCCATGGTTGGCCGCAACCGCTACCTCAGCACCAGCCAAAAGATTGTCCAGGCCCGTGTTTACGCCCAGGGGCTCACGCTCGCCGTCCTGATCGCGACGGCTGCCTTCGAGACGGCCGACGCCAAGGCCGGCAAGGGCCGCTGGGAGACGGTCACGGTCGTCGATCCCAACGACCCTACCCACAAGCACATGATCGAGAAGAGGATCCAAAAGGAGGATTATGAAGGCGCAGACCTCTGGAAGCGTATGTGTTTCCCTTCAACCCTTTTCAATGCTACCTAGGTAAAAGAGTGCCCAAGCTGACTTGCTATGGCAGAGATGGTTGCCGCCGAGGAGCGGCGCATGGAGGAACAGAAGAAGCAACGCGAGGCGCAAGTCCAGCACCAGGCGAAAAGCGAGGCTTCTTCCTAGATGCTCTATTCGATTATGAGGCTCCGATGACCGGGGATTTAGTACGGTCGCAGATTCCCTGCGCGAAACATTCCTCCTCTCTCAATGCATTGGATGGCGTTGGATTGGGTAAAGTGTACAGTATGGCGTTTGGTGTCTTTCTTTCCCGCCGTTGTACAGCTAAGTACGGCTCTGCCGGGGCTGCTTTTAAAGAGGGTCACTGGAAATCCAGACAAGTTGATAGAGCATATCATCAGTCATAGATGGCTGGACCTCGTGGATACATCCATCTAATAGAGACAAAAAGTCCTTGTTTATATCAATCCGGTTCATTTTTCCTGAATCCGCTCACTTTTCCAATACACCCACGACGCCGTTCTTATTATCCGCCTACTTCAAAGCCCTTGGAGCATCCAGCACCACGCACGGGTGACACGGCACGGGAAACGGACCTAGACCTCAATGGTGAAATGGCTGATTTGCGAATAGTAGGCATGAACCGCCAGCTCCAGCACCCATACATCGCCGAACACCTCGCTGCCGTCAAACCCGCCAATCACCAACAGTCGGCTATCGTGCAGGACGGTGCCGTGATAACCCCTCCCGCTCGGGGGCAAACCATAGACCTTGCGCTTGTCCCAGGACATGGTGACGAGGTTGAGCAGCAAGACGTCGTTGGAGTATTCGTTCCCGTCGTGGCCTCCTATCACGAAGAGATAGGATCCCACGATGGTGGCTGTGTGCGACAGGCGGCGGAACGTGATGGGGATGTGGACCGCCTTCCAGATGTCCGTGTCAACGTCGTAGACCCACACGTCATTGAAGCACTCGCCGCCGTCGGAGCCGCCGTAAATGATCAGCTTGCCGCCGACCATATTGGCCGTGTGGTAGCCGCGGGCTTTCGGCCGGTCCTCCTTGGAGGAGGACGACCTCCCGCTTCCGCCGGCGGAGGAGGAAGAAGAGGAGCCCGCCGAAATCTGCTTCCACGACATTCTGGTCACGTCGCTGACGTCGAGCCGCCAAATGTCGTTGAGGGCGCGCACGCCGTCGCCGCCGCCAAACACGTAAATGCCGTTCTTGTACAGGCACGCCGTGTGCGCCCGCCGCTTGGACGGCATCTTGTCGCCCAGAATGCGCGGCTTGGACCAGCGGAAGTTGACCGTGTCGAGCACGTAGACGTCGTTGTAGTAGGCGGGGCCGTCGCCGCCGCCGAATATGACGAGCTTTTTCCCCACGGCGGTGCACGTCATGGCGCGTAGCGGGACGGGCACGTCGCCGACGACGTGCGGCGTCGACCAGTAAAAGGCGTCGGCGTCGAGCACGTACAGCTCGTTGAAGCAGGCGCGCGAGTCGCACCCGCCAAAGATGTAGACGTTGGAACCCACCAGCGTCGTCGTGTGCGCTCGCAGCGCCGTGTGCGGCGCCCCAGATACGGGCGCCCGGCTCCAGTACATGCCCGACGACGGCGCCGCCGGCACATCGGGCGCCGTCCGCGCATCCGCCATGGCCGGAAACGCCGTGTACACCTCGGCCCCGCGCGCCGGCGCCCCGCGGCCCGTGCCCACCCGTGCGACTACCGAGCTTCCTCCTCCTCCTCCTCCTCCTGCTGCCGCAGACCCCACCGCGGTTGCTGCCCCCGGCCGGCCCGCGATAGCCGATGTGGAGCGCAGCGCTGTCGGTCGCCGCGCCGTGGATGTGGTGGATGCATTGTTCCCCCCGCTCGTCTCCTTGCTGCTGCTGACTGACGAGTCACCGCTCTCGGCGGAGGCAGCAATGCTCCCTTGCCGGGCGGCCGAGGTCGGTGTCGGGGTCTTGGTGGATGAAGGGGGAATGGGAAAGGAGGCGGCCGAGATGTGCAGGGAGGTTGGGACGGCGGCTGATGATGACGACGAGGAGGCGGTGGTGGTTGGTGGTGTAGCCGACGACTGCGAGCGCTGGCGGACGGCTATATCGGCGGGCCTGTGGCGGCGGTCTTGGCTCTTGGACGAGAGGTGGCCGGGGGTGTGGGAGCGTGGTATCGGGGGCGCGCGATCCTGCGGTTCGGCGGCGTCGTAGAGCTCCGATGGAGGGGGTCGCGTGTCTGTGGGCGACGTCATCTGGGCGATCTTTTGCGAGCGCACGACTTTGATCTTTTGCGGCGACTCGGGCGGCCTCTCCCGCCTCGCTGCTCCGGCCTGCTCAGCCATTGTGTGGTCGAATGATCATTTCTCGGGCATGGACAACCCCCGGCGGACGGACAGCAACCCCCAGTGGGAGGATGGGGCCGCGGGCTTGAGAGGCGTCCAGCGGACCCTGGTTGGCGGGAGAAGAAGCCCGAAATCGTTCAGTACCGTTACTCCGAGACCTGAGGAGGGTTTGTAGAAAAGTCAGGCTGTGAAGCAAAATTTGTCTCTAGTCCACGCGAGGTAAGGTTTGTTGATGGTTTGATGTCTCAAGTTGGAAGGTTGGTCAACGCTGTCGCAGGCTTCTCGTCTCGTGTTTTACCTTTCCCTTACTCTGTAGGGAGGGCCGCCCTCGGAAGCCCCCTGCCCTGGTATTCGGCTTGGCTGTAATTAGCGGCATGACAGTGAATCCGCCGCCACCCACATCGATCCTATAAAAACCCTCAAAGACGGCCGTTGTCTCTGCAAGGGATCATTCGTGACCTCGCTGCCCAGGTTCCGTGTTCTCATGTTTCGCCGCGGGCGAAATGTAACGTCAAACTGTTTTACTAGGCTAGTTGTATTCTCGTGTTAATTAACCAGCAATTCCAGAGCACGCACCTCAAGCTTCGGGCCATGCGCTGATTGAATAATAACCTGCCGACTGGGATGAAGCGCAGCCAGTAACGTCAGACAATCAGACGCCCAGCTGTTGGCCATCACAAGGCTTATGCTACAACGCCGTATGCCATTCGAGATCCCCGCTTGAGAGTTGTTCCAGTTGGAAGACCAGCGCTTCGGCAACGTTCACAATGCTCGGAGGATACATACGAACTTTTCACACCAATTGGTCCATTCGGTCAGTGCAATCTACATTGCTGTACCTATTGTAAATACCTTACGTAGGTACAGTACCTACGTACTTACAGTCTTACACAGCGTTACAGAACACTGTGAATTTTGTAACCCCGCTGTGGGGCAAACACTCACTTCATTTGAAGATTTCATGTTGATCTCTTGGAAGAATTGATACTTTTAAATCTCCGGGGTCTTCAGTCAAAAGATTCCCAAACTACATAAGATCAATTCCACCTCCTCTATTCGTAAACGGAGACTGGTGGCAGCGAGAATGGACCCCATAGAGCCGACGAAGCGGCCTGCGGACGGGACTGCGAGCAACGCCTTGCCCATTGAGATTCCAGATTCATCTACTGATGAACCAGCCGCTAAGAGGGTCAGAATCGATGAGACATCGCAAGCCTCGCAGGGTACAACTCATAAGGCCCCAAGGCCCAGAGTCAAAGGAGTTGCGCCCATCAAGGAAGAGTGCGTCGTAGGCAAGCACTCCCGATTCATATTTGTAGCTAATAAATTTACCTCAGATATCTCGTCTTGGCACACAGTCAAGCTACAAAATCAGGGGGTGAGACCGAGGACATCGACGACGATGCTGCCGAGGGACGGACTGCGCCGGATGCCCAGGGCCTCCAGCAGGGTCCCGGCAAAGGCGCGAAACGGAAGAAGCAGAAGGGCGGCCAAAACAAGGAAAGGGATTTTGGCACCTTTTCAGACGCCCAACGTTTATGCAACTCAGTGGCATGGACTCCTGAGTTCTCTCCTCGGCCTTGCAAGCAAGGCGATCGCTGCAATGCCCTGCACGACATTCGGAAATACCTTAAAGAGGGCCGCCGTGCCGATCTCACCACTTTCGGGGGCAAATGCCCTGTGTTCGAGAAGTACGGCAAGTGCCCTTCCGGCTGGCGCTGCCTCTTTGTGGGGAGCCACATGAAAGAGGTCAAACATGAAGACGGCCGATCAGAGCTGGTAGTCTTGGGCGTCGGGAGCGAATCGACAGCGGATCAGGGAGACGGCGATGTCGGCGAGGTCAAGCCTGGGGTGGTGAACGTGGTGCCAGCCAGCGTCAAGATTGACCTCTCTAGAAAACGTGTGGCACTAGACAAGTCCGACAAGTACTTGGACTGGCTTGCCAAGGATACCGAACTATTACGGGAACATTACCACAAGAAAAAGGACGACGAGGATGCCTCTAAAGACTATAGGGCGCAGTATGTCGAGCCGCCCCTCAAACCATCCGAAAAAAGGAGGATATACTTTGGTCGAGAAACGCCAGTTCTTGCTCCTCTGACGACTCAGGGGAACCTCCCTTTCCGCCGTCTCTGCGTCGAGCTGGGTGCCCAGGTGACTTATTCCGAGATGGCCCTTGGGCTGCCGCTACTACAGGGTCAAAAAGCAGATTGGACACTGATGAGGGCGCATGAGACCGAGATAACCCCACCGCTCTTCAACCCAAGTGGCTCCGTTGTTCAAGGCTACGATAACACGAAAGACCTCAAGTTTGGCGCGCAGATTGCAGCCAACGTCCCGTGGGTGGCCATCAAAGCCGCCGAGGTCCTGTCTCGCTTCTTGCCCCATCTTCGGTTGATCGACCTCAATTGCGGTTGCCCCATCGATATGGTCTACAAGTCGGGAGCCGGGTCAGCGCTTCTGGATGCTCCGTCGAAGCTGGAGCGGATGATCAGGGGAATGAACGCTGTGTCAGGAGAAGTACCAATCACGGCAAAGATCCGCATGGGTGTCAGGGACGACAAGTTCACGGCCCACAAGCTGGTTGAGCGTCTGGCGCTTGGAAGCGAGGACATGCGCGGCGTTCTCGGCGCTCCTGGGTGTGCCGCCGTGACGCTGCACGGGCGGACCAGGCAACAGCGGTACACGCGGGCTGCCAACTGGAGCTACATCGCCGAGTGCGCCGCCCTGGTGAAGCAGTATAACGAGAAGTGCGACGACCTAGCCGATACCGTCCGCCAAGTCGAGGAGAACACGCTGCCCAACGGAGGGAAAATGTACTTTCTCGGCAACGGCGACTGCTACTCGCACGTCGACTACTATGATCATCTCGACAAGGCAAAGGTTGACAGTGTCATGATTGGTCGAGGCGCAATCATCAAGCCGTGGATTTTTGAAGAGATCCAGACCGGGCAGTATCTGGACAAGTCAGCGTCGGAACGGCTGACGTACGTTGAGAAATTTGCCCGCTACGGCATCGAGGCCTGGGGTTCCGACGAACTCGGCCTCAACTACACAAGACGATTCCTTCTCGAATTCTTGAGCTTTTTCCACCGCTATGTGCCCATTGGCCTTCTGGAATACCTCCCGCCCAACATGAACGAGAGGCCGCCCGCTTATCGTGGCCGAAACGACCTTGAGACACTGCTTGCAAGTAAGAACTACAAGGATTGGATCAAGATCAGGTGGGCGCTACAGGACCGTACCAGTTTGAGGGTAGACGTGTTTTTAGCTAACGAGCATGCTAGTGAAATGTTCCTGGGTCCAGCTCCTCCCGAATTCAAATTCCAGCCAAAGCACAAATCAAACAGCTATGAGATTGATGCTGAGGGCTGATAAAACCGGAAAGCATGCACGGGCAGCGGAGTAGCTCTTGGTGTGCGGATATGGGAGCGAGCCCCTTGATCAGGGGCAAAGCCAGGTGTTATGTAGATTGTCGAGAAGCTCTGGAAGAATCACGGAGCTGTCTCACCCGATATTTGGGGCATACAATCTACATGACTGAGAAGTGGCGTGGGCGATAGACGGCGGTGCAGAGACCTGGGTTCTAGTAACATCATCGAACCGGGCGGAACAGTCGCAGGGTCACAACTTGTTTGTAGCCTCGCCAAGCATCTGGCTTGTTTGATTGGGATACAGACGGCGACCGTACAAGAGCTTGAAATACAGCGCCCGCAGGGGTGCTGTCTGTTCACCATTCACCCAGATAGATGGAGACTGCTGTGGGCAATGAGATCAGCGAAAAGGGGTTGCGTTGAGATGCTTCTGATCAACCTGTTTGGTTGAGGAATTTGCAAAGCCGTGAATGTAAGGTACGTTGCATGTGGTCGAATTGCTTGTAGCTCCCTGATTGCTACATATTACGTTGATTGAATTGCTTGCAATGCGTCAGTTGTTTGACTGCGTGTTGGCTTATGATCAGCTGCTTGCAACATGCAAACCGCGCGTTGAACTGCGTGTTGATTGAAACTGCTTAACTCTGATGCTTTGACTGCGAGAGCCCTTGACTACAAAAGGTCTTGAGAGAGACCGCTTGACTCCAAATGACATGACGCCGACAACTTAATTAGGACGACTTGACTATATATATCTGATGGTTGATGACTAGATTCTCTGCACCTCCTTTCCTTCTTTTGGCATTACTCCTCGTTTCGTCGATTGCCAAGCACCAAGACCACCGAGATAACGAGTACCTACTAGTACTAGTATCTTGCGAACCACTGTCGAGACTCTCAAGCGGGAGAAGAGAGCCAGCGCGGTCGAGGACTGGGATCCGGATCGAGCGACGACATCCAAGGTGACTGACGCCGACGTCGAAGTTGCTCCAAGCTCTCTGCTCCCGCTCCGTCCCGTCCCCGATACAGGTTCCCACCCGCCTCCGGCCTCCCCTCCGCGCGCATCGGCAAAAAGTCAGGCCTCTAAGAATGAGTTTATCCCCACCACGCCGTTGCCGCCGAGGGTGAAGAGCAGCCAGGCAAGCGGTACCAGCCAAGTATCGATCGGTTCTTATAAGGATTTATGTAGGAAAGCTAATGGTCCGGGTCAGTGGTAGATAGGGCTGACTAGGTCGTCTGCCACGAAAAGTTGAAGTGCAGGGCATGGCGTAACCTTGTATTCCTTTCCTCTTACTTTCCTCAGCTGTAGGTAGATTCTACGATAGTGGTATCATAAGCCAGATTTCCGTTCTTACATGTCTCGTCTGTATACTCTTCTTCGTCACAGTGGGAATGGAGTCACTCTTCGCACTGTACTATCACGGGCATTGCCCATGCCAATTTAGGGTTAGAATAACGGTGTGGGTGTGTAGGGTTAGGGTTGGAATCCTTTCACCCCTACCGGTACGGAGTACTAAATCCTGTGTCGTGATCTCTCTATATTCGTACAGTGCCATACGCCATCAACAGACAACTACGGCCTTTTCCCACTGTTTCTGCCGCTAAGTTACTTGCATCAACAGCATCCAAAGATCGAAACGGGAACCAGAGCAACAGCTTGGTCATTCAACGACTGATATATTTCTCTATTTCCCAGGAAATGGCACCCACGGTACTCCCTGAGTCTGGCAACCCACTGTAAGCTTCATGCGTTCCAATACAACCACTTCCAAACTTCACTTGCTTTCAACGCTCACCCCCAACCCTAACTTCTCCGGCCACACACCTCCACGATTCTGTTCAGCCAGATCATGCCTTCATAAGTGGACACAGCATCACCGAACAAGCTACATCAGACACTGACAACCATGCTCTGCTAGGGTGTTTTTTGACATTACACTCGGAGGTGAGCATTGTTCCACTCATCCCCCCTTTCTCCTTACCTCCCCTTCCCCAGCCGACCACCAACCCAATGGCTGACTCTCGGCTTCAGGCGAGCCTCTCGGCCGAATTACATTTGAGCTCTTCAAGAATGTGGTTCCCCGGACAGCCGAGAACTTCCGCCAGTTCTGCACGGGCGAGAGCAAGAACCATCTAGGTCGCCCGCAGGGCTACAAGGGCTCCAAGTTTCATCGAATTGTAGGTCCTTTCTTTGTTTCTCCGCCATCAGATGGATACGTGGAGAGAGGAGGGGTCGAAGGGAAGCTTCAAATATCCTGGTTGTGTTTACTGACATTGGGGTGATACGTCAACTACTTAGATCCCGAACTTCATGTGCCAAGGCGGCGACTTCCTCAACGGCGACGGCACGGGCTCGACATGCATCTACGGCACCAAATCGTTTGCCGACGAGAACTTTGACCTCAAGCACGATCAGCCAGGGTTGCTGTCTATGGCTGTACTGTTTTCCCCTACCCCAACCCCCTTTTTCTTTCCTTTCCAGTTTTACCCTCCCCCCCGTCCCTCCCGCCCAAACCTCCCGCCCCTTTGTCTCTTCAGAACCAGGCCAACTAATGATAACCAACAGAACGCCGGGCCCAACACGAACGGGTCGCAGTTCTTCATCACAACGGTGCCGACGCCCTTTTTGGACGGCAAGCACGTCGTGTTCGGCAAGGTGGTGGACGGCATGGACATAGTCAGGAAGATGGAACACACCAAGACGGGCTACCGCGGCAAGGACGTGCCCAACCTGGACGTGGTCATCGCCCAGTGCGGCGAGATGTAGTTACTAGTACCTATACGCCGGCGGTAAACAGTCAGGTAGGGGAGGGAATTGATAAAGTTGCACACGTTGAGGTGAGCTGGCGTCGCTAGATTCTGGGTGTAAACAATGGGGCTATGTGATGAATCAGGGGAAATGGGGAGGATGGAATTTCACAACAAAGAGCACTAATTATCAAGAGATTCATCAAGCCTGCAGTACCTATGGAACGAGGACATTGCTTGTAATTAAATGCTGTAGGATCAATCTAATTATTCTCGATTGAACGTAACGCTGTGGGTATAAAAACAAGAAGTGTCAAGAAAAAGTCGGGATATGTACCTGCCATAAACCAAGACCATGCGGGTATATCCTGCCCTTCTGCATACAGTAAAACGACCCGAATCCCGATATGCCCAGCCAGACCCGAGTCTTGAGTCTATATGCGTCGATTTATATCGCCTACCTGATTGTGGTGAACATTCTGCCACCAAAACGCCGAGAATGCTTTTTCGTTTCTCCCTCTTACCCCAAAATTGCAGTGCTACAGACACGAGAATTCCTCATTCCTGCCATCACCCCATGATCAGGGATAACCCGCCCTGGACCTGGACCTTGGCCGTCTGGCCCTAGGCTTGCGCATCATGAATGGCGTGACTGTAGGCGGGAAGCTGGGAGTTGCCGAGCTGGGAGATGGGGTAGCGCTGTGCTTCCCACTCCGCGGCGTCTCATAGGCCGTGACGGTGATGGTGGCTTGCGGCACCGTGACCGTGACAGTCACAATTGACGGGCTGATTCCGGACGATGTCTGGCTGGTTGGAACGGGTAGGCTCGTGGTGGGAGAGGAAGTCCCCGAGGTCGTCGCTGTCGGCGTGTGTGTTGCGTTACCGCCACCGCCTCCCTGCGGTTGGCCTTTGCCTTGGGCGGCTAGGATGGAGGCGGGAAGAGGGAACTGCAGGTTGGCCGTTTTGCCGATCAGGGGCCGCAGGGGTATGTCGGCCGGGTCGGCGGTTGCTTGGCTCACTCCGGCACCGGCCTGCGGGACGAGAACTTGAAATGGGTTCCTCATCTGAGCGGGGATGCCTTTGCTCGCCGAGCTCTGCGCCTCGGGCGCGCTCTTGGAGGAGGCTTTTGTCTTGTTGCAGGTTGGGCCCTTGATATCGCCGAGACTGTCGTCGCAGGGGTCCACGATGCTGAAGTCGACCACGCCCGTGTAAATCTCGGGTATGGTCACGAAGGGCTCGCCATTCGTTGTGGAGTTGCCTGGGTGGCTCGCGGGCGGCACGGCCACGCCCTGTACACTCATGTCAGGCCAGTCCCATACCCAGATGACGGACATAACCTGCCCGACGGGGGCGTCGAATGGGATTTGCACGTCCGACTGGCAGAGTAGGGCATCGGAGTTGCTGATGAATTTCGTACGGTATGTGGAGATGCCCTCGGGATCCCCGACGTTTGGGATTACCTCGTGGCACTGCCCGTCGTCAAAGTTCCGTGTCGCCAGGAGCCTGCCCTTCTTATCGCCACCGCTGCCGTCGGCGGTCCACTTCAGGTGAACATCGACGAGGTTGGTGTTGGAGAGATCGGTCTGAGTGGTCCCGTAGAGGTAGACGGTGCCACGATTGATGGGCTTGAGGGGCGTTGTCACGTCCGGGCGGGTGACGTGGCCGTTTTCGGCGTACAGGATAGCAACATAATCGCCCGGGGCCACCTTGAGCATGGGATATTTGCTGCTATAGCTCGCGGCGGTCAGCTGGCGCTGGCTAGGCTTCACTAGCTTGTCGTCGGGGAGGATCGTCTTGCCGCCGGGTCTGCCGTTCGGTGGTATCAGCCAGTCCTCCTGCGGTCCCTGGCCCCTTTCGGTATGTGCTCTGTCATAGCCCGGATCCCCGATCATGACGCCGTTCGGTGATAGGCGTCTTGTCTGCTCGGGCCAGGAATGTGCCGTTGTTGCAGTTGCCCATAGTGTAGAGAGGAGCCCCGCGGTGAGTAGGCCGCGGGTTCGGTTTGGGCGTAGCTTCATGGAGGATAAGCTTGATGTCGTAATGTCGTGATGTCGGCGAGTCAGATTCGTGCCTTGGGTGTGTTGAGAGCAGCGTAGATGTGTATGGTTTTGGTTAAATGTTTGTAACAAGGCGCAGCTTGCTAAAATAAAGGAGCGTATGGGAGTTTAAACGTCCAGCGCAAAGCCTGGGCCGGCCAGCGGGAACAATAGCAACAATAGCAAGCCTGAATGAACAAGCAGAATGTGAATGCGATTGCGGTGGGTCGTTGGCTATTTGTTCATTGTCCAGAATAGCTGTGAATAGGCCGCCAAGCACAAAGACAATAGAACAATAGATTTGTTTAAGTATGTCCCAACCGGCCGCAAGTCAGAGATCAGCGGAGACGAGAGGAGACGGAGTTGACTCGGAGGGCAACTGGCCACTTTCCCCACGCTCACGAGAGCAATCAAAGATGGGATGGCCAAACCGTGTCATTCAAAGGTTGACGGTTTTTGAAGAAAGACAAAATGATGGCAAAAAAGTCACAAGATGGGACGCGGCAGTGGGTATGCGTCACCAAGGAAGGTATGTTTGCAATGGCTCATTGTCGGGGAACACGTAAACGACGGGGAAAAGCAAAGGGACAGAGAGGGTAGATAGATGACGGGCCCGGCGAAGATGGCAAGATGACCATCTCCTGATTGCGTGTCCCAGGAAAGCCATACTTCGTTGTTCCCGTTGCCATAACGTCAACAAGCAAAGTTACAGGGCCGGTCTGGCGCCAGAGGTAAGCCCCTGAGGAGGCTCATGAGCCCGAAATCCAAGATGCAGCGTGGGAAGCCGCTTGGGTTGCTACAGAGTGAAAGAGGCCGGAGCACGGAATCTGAAGTCAGAGGTTCCAGACTGGGAGGTTTGCCAGGTTCAGGGTTGCGACTCAGCGCTTGCCAGTGTCGCTGCTGTTGACCGTGGCCCGTCGAACCATTTGGATCTGGGTGGGGACAGGGCAAGTGAGATCCAGTGGCTCTCCCCAGATCTGTGCTACCAAGTACCGAAGTACCGAGCCGGGATGAAAAGTGAGTGGAGGAGCGCAAGGGGCCCATTCATTTTCCCGAGCCATCCCATCCACTCGTGCCGCTCACTTGCGGCAAACTTCAGATTGGCGAGATTTTCAAGAGCGGGCCAGCGCGGTTGCGTCCCCACGAGCCAGGCTGCAAGCGATTCGCTGCAAGCCATCCGAACATGCGGCCCGGCCGCAGGCTCGGCAGGAAGCCGAAACATGGCAGCATTCGCCCATGGCCAAACAACTTGCAGAGACATCGCAGCGGACGAGGTGAGCTCTTTTCGTTCATATTGAATGTGGCCTTGGCGCCGTGCTGCTTCAGTGGTGTATGGTGCTAAAGTAGGTAAGCGGTTAGTGATGACCTATTTCATCACTACATTTCCACATTCAAGAGAGGTTATCATTGGAATTGCATTTCATCAATGCTATCTGTCAATATCTGCGTACATAGCAGAGATCTCATGTTTCATACCCCACAGGCTAAGCTTTGAGAGCACTGACAATCTGTGATGATCTCCGGTACGCTTTACACCGTTTCATTCCAATGTCCATCATTCAACCCCTGCCTGTATCATGTGCATCTCCTTGGCCGTGATGCTGGTTACGGTAATGGCCCTACAATAATGTAAAGGGGGAAAGAAGTATGTACATACATACCTGAGCGTATTCCACCCACCAACATTTGCATCCTCCATCCTCCATTCTACCCCGTCAGCCGGATTTCCCTTCTTTTTGCCAGAAGCCTCACTGATATTCCCGCCAGCTCCGTAACGTACAACGTTTCGATTGCTCCCCCTCTTGCCCTGTCAAACGTGTACTAGATAACTTAATGCATATCCTCTGTGGTGACTCTGCCAGTCAATGTGACTGAGACAGCCGCATGGATGAGGTTTGTCAAAGTGTCCTCTCATTATTTTCCGTTGGCTAGTTATTATTCAACTTCTCTGATACGTACACGACCACGTATTACAAAACCCCCCCTTTCTTGTTCAACCCCGACATCATCTCTCCCAAAACGCCGTCCAAAGCGCCCCTCTGTCCATGGCTGCTAATACACTGCGCACCTAGGTCTGATTACATGTATAGCCGGCTGATTAAAGCGTCGCCGGTTGGACGGCGACGAGACAGGGAACCACAGCACCAGAGACCGAAAACAAAAAGAGAGAGATGAGACTAACAGAAAACCCAGTGGCAGTGTCTCAGCATCATCAGAGAGTCTCCCTTGGGGTGGGGGAGCTCAGCACCTCGGCCTCCGGCGGCAAACTCCCGTTTCCCCTTCCTGCTGTTCTTCATCACCATCCACCGAGCTGTCCGAGCGCCGGCGCTTGAGGCGGCTCATCAGCGTAGCAGTACGAGGAGGAAATCCCCCGTGGCGGCGAAGGATTTCTTCCACCTCCGCTATAACTTTTACCGCTCGCGTTGCCGTTTCAATTGGCATGAAAGGGGAGTGGGAGTTGGAGGAGGACGACACAGAGGAGGACGGCGCCGCAATCTCTTCCCAGTCCTGGGACAGGTCCGAATCGCAGCCCGCTGCAGAGGTTGCCGTGCTGTGGATGAGTACCCATTCAGCTTCCCCCGCAGCCTTGTGGTGGTCGTGGCTGCTACCAGGCTGCGTTGTGTTGGTGGTGGTGGCGGTGGCTGCCGATTCACCTGGTGTGTGGGCGGACGTCACCGGCGTCCAGATGTCGTGCTCGTTGCCCGTGGTATCGCTGGGGATCCAAACCTGTTGTGAAAGCTGCTGTTGTTGTCGGTGATGCTGTTGCTGTTGTTGCTGTTGCTGCCCTTGGCTTTGGTGTTGCTCGGCATTCGAGCTGCTTCTCCTCTGCTCGCTGCTACCACGGGCCGGGGCACTCTGCAGCTGCGATTCTGTCCAAGTCCCAGCTACGCTGTGACTGTAGCTTCCGCCGGCGATGGCGCTGGTGCTGGGGTATGTTGATGGCCACGCGGCTGCCGAGTCCATGTTGCTCCCGATAGCATGGTCGCTCCAGCTGTGGATACTGTCCTGCGATTCGCCATAGGTTGCGTTGCTGACGTGGGCTAGGAAGGGGTCCGTCACGGCAGCAAGGCTGCTCCCAAGCCCTTGTGAGCATGCATCCATGCCGGCTGTCGTTGCCGCTACATGGCTGGGTATGTAGCCCGGGTGAATGCCGGCACTGTTGGATGCCGTATCAAACCCCGGAGCAAATGAGGTTGTTAGGGTGGCACTCGGGGGCGGAGTGGCTAGGCCGCTGTGACTGTTAAGACTACCGAGCAGATCATACCCAGCTTGGACAGTCGTGGTGTGCGATGCTGACGTCTGGGCCATGAGGTGAGCGCTGTAGGCCGCCTGCGCCGCTGAGGTGGACAGAGTGCCCAGTCCGCCCGCATTGTCCCACGCTGCAAAGTTCTCGCTTATACTCGCGCTCATGTCTGGTTGATAGATTGGGCTGGGGGACGTGACGATATCGCGGGAGCTGGGCGGTACGCCCGAGGCTAGCCCGCTTGAATGCTCTCCGTAGCCATCCGATGAGGAGGTCCTTCTTGGATTTATTATGGCTCGCTGCTGGTGGTATTCGCTGGCGGGGTCAAGAATCGTTAGGAAGCGCCAGTTTGTCCTCCCGCCCTGGGCCGTGACAAGTTTACCGTCTTCGATGCTGTGGATCGTCTCGAATGTCCAGAGAATCAACGCCCGGCGCGTCCACCGTTGGCTGCGTTCATGCGGCAAACTCGGCGGACACGACCAGATCTCTTGCATCATGGCAATCTTTGGCACAAGGTCCATTTGTGTGGACTGCCGGTTTCGGCGACGAGACCGTGGCTCGCCGTCATGGTCATCCTCCCTTTTGACGATAGGGCCGCTCCCTCTGTCATGCCTCTTGCCGTCGCTGAACGGGTGAGCTGGATACTCGGCGCAGTTTGTCAATGTGAGCGCCCAGACGTCGGCCGGGAAGGGAACAGTAACGTAATCTCTGCGGCAGCGTTGCGAGATGCAATCGCACTGGCCACCACCTTCCCGCGCGCCTTCGCAGCCAGGCCGGTGCTGGTACTGCATGGCAATCTCGGCAGAAGTCTCGTACAGCAGCTCCGGGGGCGCGTCGTCATGCGAATAGCTGAGCTCTTCTGGCCTCGCCAGGACCGTGTGTACCTTCCAGCGATGGTTGAGCAGCCGTGGCTGCTCAATGTTGATCTCAACCCACGAGTTGAGTTCAGACTGGCTCGGAAACCGGCGCCTCTCCTTGAGCTCGAGCGTCACGTGCATGTGTAGGATATCACACTGCGCGTCCGTAGTCGTAGCCGTTATGGCCTCGAGTCTCTGGTACAAACTGGGGAACGCCGTCTCCCACTTCCTGCTGATTTCCCTGACGCTGCTAGACTCAACCTGGTGAATCTCCTTGGTGAACTCGTGGAGCAGCCCACCCTTGAATATTTGCTGCTCCTCTTTGGCCCACGTCTCGCGCTCAAGGTTACGCACAAGGTGGGGATACTCGCTTTCGCTGAGCTTTTCGCCCGTCGCAGGGACATAGCCGTCTCCGTCCTCTGCAACGACCACATCCTGGTGCGACACAAAGATCCAACAGCGTTTCGGCCTGACTGTCACCTGCTCGTTCAATGTGAGAATCTGGGCGAAATACTCATAGTTGGGCCGCTCATCGGGGAGGCGGCCCTCGGACAGGGCAATCAAAACGGGGTTGTTCTTGAGCGACACTGTCTCGATGTTGTCCTTATCCTTGTCGTCTTGTCGTTGGCCGAAGAAAAAGTGGACTGCAGGGATGCGGCAAGGGACGCATGTTAGCCGTTTGGTGATCACCACGAATCGGCAGGGCGGGAACGCCACAAGCAGGGGACCAACGGCACCCTTGCGGCGGGACACCGCGGGGATGCGGATGGGACAGTGTCAACTTACAACATCGATGATTCGAAAAGAAGTTCTTGAACACCTGAATATGGCTCGACACCATTTTCCTTTCTCTCATCATAAGCGGGTCAGGTTCCACGCCAGGAGGGAGGGTTTGGCAGTAAGCAATCCACAGGTATTCGCCAATCAACATGTTACGTCCATATTGAGTTTGCTTCATTGTGTACTTCTTTCGCCTCATCTGAGGGATGAGCAGCAGGGCTAGGACAGGGTCAGCCATATATCGCCCTAGAGTCTGAGATGCAGCGTCTTGCGGGGTAAGTAGTTACCGTCTAAGAATGGCCCTTCTAGAACGTCGGGCCATTTCTGATCTGGCTTGTCCGCCTGCTTCTTTCGATAGTTCTGAAACGCCTGCGTCAGCAAGGGCATGAGGGGGTTGACGCCCTGCGACACCCTCCTGCTGTGGGCGTGACGGTCATGCCGTTGCTGAGATTTGCTGGAGGGCAATGCACTATATTCACCGCCGAGGGATTGGGTTCGCAAGATGGACGGCATGGGCAATGGAGATGGTATCGATGCGAAGGCGTTGAAAGGAAGCAGGTGCTGGGCAAACCACAACACGCGAGCGTTCTGGGCGTTGCCCGTCGACTCATGCAGAGGTCTCCTTGAGTTCGATAGTCCATGGTCTGGCGACGGTGAGAGGCATTGTGCCGGGGGTAGTGGTGCCCTGACTTGCAGTTCCATTGCCTAGGACTATGAGTTCAGGGCATGGAAATGCTCCCGTTGACAAACAGCCGCCCAGGAACGCTGACCGGGCAAGAAAAGGAGAGGAATTCCCGGGAGGAATGACTTCCCGTCGGGAGGCGAGCCAAAGCAAAGATATAAGATATGCTTCAGGTAACAGAACCGTCACGTATAATAGGGGGGTGAGGAGAATGAGAAATGCTTATAATAAGGGACGCCTGTCCACGGTGCCTCAGGGGTTTAGACCAACCTTGACACTCCTGGCGTTGCGATACTGGGGCAACACATTGCTTAGGGCGACCGCACATCAGTCAACAGGGCCGTTGGCTCAGCCCTCAGGACGCATCCAACATGGCGCCCAACTTGGAATGCAAGGGCATCCATATCGTAGCGACAACCCCCCATGTAGCCTCGCGAGTCTCCAAAGGTTGGCGGCAGGGGCTCGGGAGGTGTAAAGACGCTTTCAGACTAAAGCACCCGCCTTAGGCATGCAGACAAGATTAGATCTAAGCAGGAACGGATTAAACGCAACGGGATAGACGTGTGAGGCTGACAAACAATCGTCAACGGGGGTAACTGTGGGGCTCCAAGTCCCGCAAGGGTGGACGACATCACCTCCATAGCAAGGGGGACGGGTTTGGCCAGTGAAACATTTGCTTCGTGCCTAGTCTAATCTTAGACCTAGGGACGCATCGATTCCTGGTCATATTGTCATGGTTCATCTTCGTCGTTATCTCCGATATTGACCTTGGTTCTCCCTCCCCCTGTAAGCTGCTGCAGGGCAACCTTGTTCACTTGTCCTCGTATCTTCTTCTCCATGGCTTTGATCTGCTCTTCGGGATCGACCTCATCGGCTTCCGCAAAGTCGAGAACCAGCCGCCGTCCAAGGAGATGAGTGTCCTTGAGCGCAGTGAGAGCATTGAATGCCTCCTTTGCCGTCGAGAACTCGGCGAAAGCGAAGCCGCGTGAGGTGTGATTGAACTTCTTGGGGAGGCGAAGTGCAACGAGTTTACCGTATGTGCTAAAGAGTGCACGTACATCCTTTTTGGATGCCTCGAACGGAAGATTCTTGATGACAATCTTGGTCCGTTGCGCGGCCGCCTTCTTGGCGAGCTCCTCGCGCCTACGCTCCTCGGCAGCATCATGGCCTCTGTGGGATGCCCTGACTATGAGCTTGTAGCCATCCAGAACATAGCCGTCCATGACCTTGAGAGCTGCTTGCGCCTGCTCCTTGGTCCTGAAGGCACAGAAGCCGAAACCCATGCTAAGCAGCTGGCCTGGGCGCTTCGGATCCATCTTAGTTTTGATTTTTGCACTCACAAACCCGTCTAAGGGCTTGAAAGCGTTGGTCAAGCCCTCCGTGGTAGTGGAGAAATTGAGATTGCGGACGAATAAGGAAGCCGTCTCGAGCTGGTCCTCACCGTCATCCTGTTCCAGCAGCTCGGCAACGGACGGCTTCTGCAGGCCAGCAGGCCGATGCTCCTGTGGGACAGCAGGGTCTATGAAGAGCTCTTTTGGGCCTTTTTCAAGGAACAGCACAGAGTCCTTGAACCGTGAATAGGCCTTCTTTGAGAAGGCAGCACGGCAGCTTGCCGGCTGGGCGAATTGAACAATGGCAATGGTGCCGCTCGGCGGCATCAGCACCCTTAGCACCGTACCATGTTCCTCAAAGAGGCTCCTGAGTTCCTCAATCGAGGCGTTCCGGATGTTCTTGACAAGTATCGAGGTATCACCTCGCTGCTGAGATCGGAATGCCTCGATATTCACCCCGTGAGAGGCGAAATACGCCTTGGCTTCCTGGATAATGGTGGTCTCAGCCACGGCCTGTTTCACAGCAGCAGAGGCGTCCGTCGGGTCCAAGAGTTCATGTTTGGACACACCGAGGCGTTCTGCTACAGCTGTGTTCACTGCGTCTTGGCTCATAAACAGCGAATTCCAGTTGAAGGTGCTGGATGCTGCTTCGGCCTTCTTCTTGAGGAGCTGCTGCTTTTTGAGCGGCAGCTTGGAAATTGCAAATTCGTCGAGCTTGTTCTCCCTTTTTGCAGCAGCCGGGAGTATGTGTATTATCCGGCCTTGGAAGGTTGAGCCGTCTGTTAGGAATGCGGCAACTGCCGCTTCAGGGCGCTCATACTGAATCATGGCAAAACCCTTGCCTTTGCCCCGGTTGTCCAGCGGGATATTGACCTGCCACGCAGTTAGCAGAAATCCAGCGCTGTCTTGGCAAAACAAGGTGTGATAAGTATTCGGCCCCTTTTGGTCAGAATCTCGAAGCATCTACTAAAATACTGAGCCCAGCTTATCGTCATGTGCCGGTGGCATAAGCTGTCCCTATCAAAGGGATTCATCAGGGTAGGGCGCCTTCAAATATAGAATCAACTAATGCTCACCTCTACGAGACTGCCAAACTTGCCAAAGTGCTCTCTGAGATCGTCTTCCGTGGCAGCATAGCTGAGATTGCGTAGAAAGAGCCGCGAGGTCTTCTCGACCAGCTTGACAGCATCTTCGGGATTTTCGCCATTGCCAACAGGCTTCTCCAGTCCATCTACACTAGTGCCAGGGCCGCCTTGGGACTGTTCCTGCAGCTCGGACCCAGACTCTTCCACGAATGCAGATGGTGCAGGCCGTGTGGGAAAGCCTGGGTCGTCTGGATCCACCAAGTCCAGCAGACGATTTGTTCTTGAGCGAAGCCAATCGTCATCTGTTGCATTTGCAGGTACTTGCAACGCTTCCCTTGCACCTTCATCCGTTGGTGCGGGTATTGAAGGCTGGCTATCCGCAGTAGGCGGTGCGGGGCCGTCGACATCAGCAGGTATCGGCGTCTTCGATGAGAGGACTGGGATGTCCTCGTACTCATCATCACTTTCGCCGGCATCTAGTGCAGTTGGAGGGATAGAGGCTGTCGAGGCAGGCTCAAAGGCGCCATCAAGCCCGTCTTTGTCTCTTGACTTTTTGGTTGGATGCCCCATAACCTCAAGATACTCTTGCAGCTTAGGGTCAGCCTCATCAAGGGCCTGCCGCTTCCTCTTCTTAGGGTTGGCATCTTCGGCTGATTCTACCCCCGGAGCACCGGTATTGGAAAGAGGATGCTTGGCAACAGCAGGGTTGGAGCCGCTCTTCGTAGCTGGCCTTGGAGTCGAGTCTGTAATCTTGCATGCATGATTAGTAGCAGCTCGCTTGAGAGGGAGGGATTAGGAAAAAGCGCCCTTACCGGTTTCGCCAAGTCGACTGCTATTCTGGACATGCGAATAAAGGACTTGTTGAAGTACGTGACCGCCCTTGCTGCATCTTCGTGTGACTTGTAACCAATAAACCCGATCCGGCGGTTTGGGATGAGTTTGACATCAGTGACCTCTCGTCCCAGAGCCGAAAAGTGTTTGCGAAACTCGGCTTCAGAAATCGTTGGCGGCAGGTTCTTCACAAAGATTCTTGACGACTCCATCTTGAAAGATTCACGCCGTTGATTACCAGCCACTGGCAGAAGATGAATAAAGCCTAGACTATCGCATGGCCGTGCCGCAATTGTTTTGTGATTGCTTCTTTGATGAGTTTTGGGCTTTGTTCAAGAAAAAGTTTGGCACTCGCTGTTCTGGAAACTTGATGGATTCTCATTGGCCCGCTATCTTATCGGGGAACCCCCACTCAGCCCCACAAACTAGATCAATCCGGGAGAAGTCCATCTACTTTTGACTGCCGTCGAAAGGAGTCTGGGAAAGAGTATGGGTACTCCCAAGTTACAAAGCGACTGCATGTTGCTTGTCAGACATCCAACCCAGCTTCCCCGCGAACCAGCGCAAAGGGAAAAGCAAACCTGCGGCGCCAAACCTAAATGGTTGCCATGTTGGGAGTGGTTCCAAAGAGCTTCGCCCAGTTTCAAACATCAAGTCGATCCAAACAAACGCGCAACTGACCGACTTTTTTTGTCTTGCTAGGGCTGTCTTCTGTAACTCAGCTCGATTGCCCACTCGTCGGATATCTGCAATAACACCTCCTATACCAACGATACTGCGATATTGCAACGCCGCTTGCGGGCACTTTCAACCCAACTTATTGTTTGTGCTCTTCTGGTGCGTTGGCCCAACCCGTGATCCGCAACCATCGCAATCCCTCCACGCAGGGAGTGACTCGCAGAGCTCCTGCACGCGCCTCGCACGCCTGTGGCCGCCCCCTTTACCCCGACCAAACCCGTTGCCAACAGCTTTCCTGCTGTTCGATTGTTTCAGCTAGTTACGCATCCGGTAGCCTGACTCAATGCTGACTGCTGCGCGGTCCGTCCAGCTTGACGCACTCCCACGATGCCGTCCGACGAACCGAAACCAGGCGGGAGCGCCTCTCCTGTCGCGAGGGAGAAGCTTGAAGGTACGTTTTTGCCCGCATTGTCTTTGTATCACCCCCTGGCAAGGCCTCGTTGTGCTAATATTCCATGCGCCCTCGCAGCCCAGATCAAGAGTGCCGACATGGTATGGCCCCTTAGCCCCATCGCCAGCCGTTCCGTTTTCGGCCACCCTCGACATGCTAACATACACATCCTTCCTTCCTCCAAGACCGATGATATGCAACAAGAGGCCATCGAAGTGGGTACGTAGGGGAAAATGCAGGGGAGCTTCTACCCCTTGGTGGCTGAACTTGGGATATGTGACTGACGCGACGAATGCTGTAGCTCAGGAAGCCATGGCCAAGTTTAGCATTGAGAGGGTACGCAATGCCGCTGGCACGCGCCGGAAATGATCATTTAAACACCGCTGACCTCGCGGGGACAGGACATTGCGCAGCACATCAAGAAGACGGTACGGCAGTGCCCCAAGATCGTGCTCTCACTTACGCCTGGTCAACTAACCCCGGCGTCGTAAAAGTTCGACGAGCGAAAGGGTCCTACCTGGCATTGCATTGTGGGCCGCAATTTTGGCAGCTTCGTGACGCATGGTATTGACAATCCTGCTACTCTCCCCTGATATACGGATGCCGTCTAGGCTGACTGACAACACTCTACGCCAGAGACGAAGCACTTTATCTACTTTTACCTCGGCCACTGCGCCATCCTGCTGTTCAAGACACAGTAGGGAAGCGGCCTCCTCCGTTTTCTCTCAAGGCTGTGAATTAAAGACAAGACAACCCTGGCTTGTCGCAATCTGACCAGTATATACCTATCTTGGCACCAGCAGCTTAGCGAGCGATCACAGAAAGGAAACGGACGGAGGATTAGGCCAGCCCTGTGGCGGCAGACGCTGACTTAGTTTGGCCAAAGCAAATGAAACCAACTGAGCGCGGGTATAAGCCCCGGATTTGGAGTGCTCAATTACCGATACAGGTGACCGAGCCAAACTGGAGCATGTTGATACCTGTACGTTAGACGAGGGTAGGAAAGAGGACAAAATGTATGTCCTGATCTCTCCGTACGAATGGTGTATCGCCAAGCACAAGTCGCCGTATCCGGGATGTTGATCTGTCACTCACTGGCACATTCCCGAAAGGTATTAAAGAGAGCATGCGAGGTAATCACATTGCATCTGCATGTCTATGAGTTTCCTCTAAAGAAGCGGGCTGCAAGTGCGGCTCAAGAGGTCGTGGCTCGGTTTCCGGTTTTGGAGGCTAAGTGAAGACAAAGACGGAGATGTGAGGCTATCTGCAAGAGTGGTCAGGGGAAGGCGCATAAATATGAGAATGGGCTCTGATAGCCCACCGTTTGACGCATACAAGCTACTTGAGGAAGTAATTTAGAGATTATATCAGGGCAGCAATCCCGTTGAGAACAACACTTGCATCACAAAGACCATGAGTGGTGGAATTAGAGAGATTTTGTCTTTCCACATGCGCTAATATCTCGAGCCTTGGTAGTCGTTTCTTAGCTGCTGTCTTGGCATCAAGTGTTCCTGGAATTCAGTGAAAATAAACATTCAACTCATAACCCATTTCCGAAAGACGCCAAATCCGACGCATTCTCTCAAGATGATGCGTAATGACCCAGACCTTTTGGCTCAATATGATGCAGCCTACCAGCCCCAATGCCAGTACCTAGCGTCATGACGCCTGTTCATGCAAGTTCGGCCTCGCCAAACGGTTATCACCCAGAACCCAGTCCCCCAAACCCCCCGGCTATCGTTTGATAGCCCAGACTATTACCGGCCATTCCCTTCCCAAGTGCACCGAAAGCTATCCGTTCCGTACGCAACGGTGCTCTTGAGCACTCCACCAACGCAGCGAACCCTAGCAAGAAAGATCATGCATCAACCGAGGCATAGATCTCATCTTTCATCCGCCTCAGCCGATCGTGCATGTCGAGCAGGTCGGTCACCCGCTCGGGATCCGGGTTTTCGTTGGCTGCGAGTTCGTGGTGTAGCTGTTCATATCGAGCATAGAATTGCTTGAATTTGGATGCCTTGTCGATAGTATCCTGAGATGGCCGTGGGCGCTTCGCTCTGCTTCCGGAAGCCGGATCAGGCGCTGGCCGCTTCCTGCTGTTGCCATCGCCCGCGCCGCTATCGGCAGTACTGCTGGCACTGCTCACAATGGTGTCACGATCATGCTCCCGCTCCCGCTCACGAGTCGCTACAAGCGATGGCCTTCCCTGCTCCAGGTCTGACGCAGTTGTTGGTGGAGATGAGGCCAGCGGTGATGACTTCAGTGGTGAAGTATTTCTGGCCTTTATCAGAGAGACGCCCGAGCTTGTTCCCCGACTATTCAGGCTGGCGTCTGAAGGGGCACGATGCTTGACTGGGCGGGCTATTGCGGGGACTGTCTTTTGACCAGGCTTCACACGCTTGCTGAGTGGGGTGCCAGAGCTGGAGCTGTCATCGTCATCCGAGTCGCGAGGGCGCTTCACCGGGGGTTTAACCGGCTTCGCAATGACTTGGGCGCGGATTGTCTCCTTCTCCTTCTGTTTCTGTTTCTCGTTTTCCTTCTCCTTCTCCTTCTCCTTTTCCGTCTCCTTTGCCCTCTCCTTCTCCTTTTCCATCTCCTTGGGAGACAGCCTATCAGGAGCCTGAGCCGCGAGTGCTTTCGGTTTCGGGGCTGGCGACTCCCTCGCCTTCACCACCGCCTTTGGCTTTGGCGCCGTCCGCTCAGCGGGCTTAGACACTGGCGCATCCGCGGCTTTAGACTTAGGCATCGAGGTCGAAAGAGGCACCTCATCGTCATCTGACGAAGAATCTGACACAAACTCCTTTGACAAGACTCGTCCACCCTTGGTACCTGCAGCTTTCGTACTCGCCTTGGCAGGCGAGACCTTGGGCGATGCTTTCGCTGTTGTGGCCCCCTTGGGCTTCTTCGAGTTGGATAGTAGTCGCTTTGCTTGGGCTTCGGATGCCGACAGCTTCTTCTTCCCCGTCGATGCCTGGGAACTAGATCTTGACATTGCTTCGCCGCCCTTGTTCTTCTTCATGGCCGAACTTGCCGAATCATCCCTCTCCGAATCCCTTCCGCCGGGGCTTGCAGCATCGAGTGTCGGCTTCGGTTTGGCAAGGGCCGCTTGCAGCCTACTCAGACATATTCCCTTACCCCGCTCGGACTTGGGCAGCAGCTTCTGCCACTGAGGATCTGATGATTCCAGCCGCATGCGGTCATACTGTCTGATGGCGTTGTCGATTGCCTTCTGGCGATCCTCATCTTCGGCATAGCTATGCTCAAACACGTCCAGTTCCTTCCAGTACCGCGTCTTGATGATCCACTTTTGCACTTTGTCGTCGAAATCAGCTACCTTTTTGAGCGCGGTGCTGAATTCTTCCTCGCTCCCTTGGTCCCACTTGGCAAGGAGCTCCTCATATGTCTGTCCCCGTACCGCGAGCTCGTGAAAGATGTGGGATCGCTGTTGCTGCGTCTTCTCTTCGGCGGGATTGCTTGCCGGCGCCAGCGAAGGTGAACGGATTCCACTCAACGCTGGACTGGGCGTCAAAGATCGAGACGAGGTGGCAGCTGTTTGCGCCTCGAGCAGTCGTTTGCCGGCTTTGACTTTTCCACCTTTAGAGCTGAGCAAGCCGCCCACGACCACAGCACTATAGCCATGTTAGTTCCACCTTCCTCAGCAGCCCCATTCAGAGATGCATACGAGTTCTCCCTCTTGTCTGCTTCCACCTTCGCATACGAGCTCTTGAGGTTCGCTATGGCGTCATCCAGAGACTCCTGAGAGCCGAGTTCTCGGTCTGATCCGGCAGAAGATCTAGCCACCGGAACGGAGGCTTTAGCTGAGCTTCGTTCAATAACCGTTTTGGTGGGCTTTGCTCCTTTCGCTGCTGGGGCTTGGGCTTTCAGGGTCTTCGCCTTGGGCTTGGCATTTGAGAATCGGAGGATCGACATTGTCGGATTCGGCAACTTATTGACGACAGATGGCTTGTCCGAGTTGGAGCGATACAGATCGTAGTCGGGCAAATCGGAAGATTTGGGTATCTTGATCTCGCGGTCGTCCAACAGGAATTTCTGTGGTTGACTTGGTTAGGAATAGATTGGAGGACTGAGGAAGGTGCCCAAGAGAGTGCGAGGAAATATATTGCAAGTGAGGTTTCCGCTTATTGAAAGAAGGAACGCAATGGTTTTCGGGCCTGCAACGGCCTGCGCAAAAGAGTCCATACTTACCGGGCTGTTTCCCAGCGCCAATTGAATATCCCCACCATTCTGAACGCAGGCAATCATGTCCTCAATATCACGTCCACTCAGCATAATGCCAAATGCCTGGCTTGGAAGCTCGGCCATAGCCTTGGCCGAGCCATCCAGCACGAGGCCGTCGGCGCTGATGCTCAGCATCATGACACGCGTGCGGCTATTAGGTGCGCTCTCTCTTCCCCACCCTTCCTCGGGTATCCCACGCACTCGGCTGGGTGTCCCACGCTCTGGCTCCCGCTCCCGCTCCCGCTCCCTCTCCCTATCTTTCCTTCTGGTCGCTCGCTGTACCTCTTCTTGCGATCGGTCCGGAAGAAGACAACCGAAAATGCGGTAGGCGGCTATCGACAAAAATGGACTGTTGTATGTGATTTAACGGCTCGTCGACAAACTGAGGTGCCAAGGCCTTAACCGCTCAGTTGGAGCAGTGTTTTATGAGCAGCAATTGAGAAGCAGTTTCCAAAACGACGCAGCCACAAAGCATTGGTTTGTCCAAACTTTCCCTACACCAGCATCAGGGGCCGTTGTGACGTTTGCTGCTTGACTCCTCCAAATCCCTACTTCTGGCCGTGATTGTAGCAAGGTTCCAGTTGCTGGGGATGAGCGAGGGCATGTGACTTGTTTGGGGCCAGATTAATAGCAGTTTGATGGGATAATCAATTGTCGGAGCGACCCTTGTTGAGGGAACGAGGCGGATCGTGAGAGTGGTAGAGAAGCAGTTCGGTCGTCACGGATGTGTAGGTCGCTACTTGCACCGAGTCGGCGGAAGGGGGCAGGGACAAGTGCAGCACAGAACACAGTGCTCGGCCAGGGAAGTTGGCAAAGGGGAATGAGTGACAGCCCGAACAAGGACAGAAGTTGTGTCTGGTAAGCATCAGAAGGTGAGGAGAGCAAAAGAAAGAGAACAAGGCCCGGCCAAAAGAGGAGACAGACGAGAGGCACCACCATGGAATGGAAGCGAGGCACCAAGGGTAACACTGGACAGCAAGTGAAGGAGGGTGGGCGGAGTGGGATGCATCACAGCGGTGTCCCCACATGGACAGTACACTACCTTACTGTAGTGTACTTCGTATGACGAATGTATTGTACTGTACTGTACTGTCAGATATGTACCGTACTGTACAGTAGTGTACACCCCAGTAATCATGCAAGGTATGTACTGTATGTACAATTCAATACATGCAGGCGATGATGTTCCGTGGAAGACCTCGATTGTTGTGGAGTTACTAAACACGGATTAGCGTTACCCTGAAGTGTATTGAAAGGTACAGCACAGCTGGCCCGTAGCTCGCACCCTTGGAGTTTGGGCACACGTTGCCCACTTAATAATAAACCCTCTGGTTCTTCCAACGCTGGTCCAGCTGGCCTTGTCCACAGAGATGGGCCGGTGAGTGGCCCGCCGGTGGCGTACAGTACAGTACCGTCAGGTACGCAGCAGCCAGGTGTGCCGTCGTCTCGTGCCCGACAGGGGACAGGGATTGCGGGTGAGCAGCAGCTTGCATGGGACAGTCAGGTACCCAACTTTGTACCTTACAGAGCTTATTTATTGTACCAACCGATGGCGCTGCGGAGCGGGAGAGGTCTCGGTTCCTCAGCGAGCTTGATGGCCTGAACTCAACACCCACACGATAAGATGGTCTGGCGGCTCAATGACTGGGACTACAGCAACGTTACCCCATTGCGACTTTGCAGATAGTATTGAGAGATCTCTGTAGCAAGGCGATATACCACCTCACAACCTTTCGACGTAGCTCACAAAGAATTCCCCCCACTTCATTCCTTTCTGCGCACGTTCCAGGTTATCGGGCTCTGGAATTAGGTAGCAGGGCCGCCTTGAGCCAGTCAGGGGCAGATTTGTCCGGTTTCCGCGTAAGTTACAGTACCCTCTCTCTACAGTAACCTTCAAGGTACGGTACGAAGGTAGAGAGTAATTACAATCCCGGCTGGGCGTTGTATTGTATGTACAGTACATTTCAAGTCTGCTGTGCGTACTGTGCTCAGTATAAACACCTCACCCTGTGGAATACGGCAAATACCGCAAGCCGTGTTGGCCTGCAGCTCAGAGATCTCGAATGACGATATTCCGTATTTCTAGGTTTTTCAGTTACTGTAGCGATGACTCCAGGAGGTTGAAGGAGTTCTGACCTGGACCAGGACATTGGATCCATCCAAGGACCCTGAATCTCTGCTCCTGGAGCCACAAGTCGATCCGCTTCGATGCTGACGCTAATCTGGGTACCTTAGGTAGCATCAACATTACCACTTGTGCAATTCTGTGAGCCCAAAGGAAGTGAGAAGTAAAAATTTAGGTACCTAGCTTAGGTACAACTCACCTCTGCCCAGTGCCCGCTGGTCCACTGCTAATGTCTCCAAACTGGCGCCTTTCTAGTGTAGAACTTCCATTGAATGATGCAATTACACTAGACTTCTCGACATGGAAAATTGCCAGTGCACTAAGTATCCGAGAGAATACCGGTACTATCCCTCTGCTTGTAGAACAAGCATTTTCTACACTACAACCTATGGCAAGTCATGTCCCATGCCTGTAGCACATTTGAAGCAGGGCGTTGCGGTTGGCAAATGCCCAAAGGGCAAGCTAGGTACTGAGGGCCAGGCGCATGGGTGGCACATGGCGGGATGGACAGTGGACACGGAACAATGATCCTTCAGACGAGCTGCGGTCGGGCACAGAAATTGCCGATTGCCTCACCTCGATTTTCCATAAACATCATCTTGACTCTCAATTGCCCGATGGTCAGTCTTTTTTTACAGTTGCCAACTTGTCACTGCGCCTGGCGCGCCTCAGTGGTGGCAGCGTTCCTATGGCGTTGGGTAGCAACCAACACACCTTGGGGGGAGGGGGGTGGTCATACAACATAAGTGTGGCAAGCCTGTTAAGGCCAAAACAGCATTTTGGCCCGGAAATCGTGGAATCAGTCCCTTGACGAAGATAACAGTAGCCGACCTAACAGCCTTGCAACGTCAAATCAGACTGTTCCATTGTAACAGACTGTTCCTAACTCTGTTCCTGGGAGTGACAGACTGTTTTTCGCATCATGGTAATTGCTGAACATGGTTGCCTGAGAGTGTTCTTACCTGAATATGATGTTCTAGGAGTCAATGTTCTACCTCGAATGAGCAAAAGCATAGGCCTCTATAGGTCATTCTCTGAACTTGTAGGGCTGGGCTGAACTATAGTATATACAAAGGTCTGAACTACGAAGGTCTGAACTACGAAGGTCTAGATTGAAGATGAAAAAGATACGATCTACAACTTGAAGTTGAACTTACAACCTACACATTACAAGACTACAATTTACAGTTATAGACAATTGCACTACGAGCACGCGTGAATGGGGATGCGAAATCCTGAATGATAAGGTGCCTGGCGGAAGGAAGGGAAGGAGCGACGAGAAGGTAGGATACAATACTGTCAACGAGGAATTAAGTGATATTGACTAGACAGTATATATCCAAATACAGGCTGTTCCTAAGGAATTACGATGTTTCCTTGACATACTGTTCCTGTTGTTCAATACTGTTGGTCTGGATAGTATTGCCCTAACCTGTGTAGCTGACAACAGGACGTTGTAGGAATCTTAGCTCTGTTGCGACACTAACAGCATTGCTAGTAAATGTTCCTGGACCCCCTCCTCCCGGCATGGCAACGCGGCTGCGTCCACGACCTCCCAGGAAGATTTGCGTTGTTAGTAAGAGAAGCTTAGCTCCAGATTCATCTTCCATAAATGATGTCTCCGTACAGGAGAAAGGTGAGCAAGTATCCGTACTTGTGAGTCGAAACCCCTCCGCAGATTCGGTCAATGTTGCCCAGTGATGGTCGGTGGTAGGAGTCAGGACATGAAGCTCGGTGCCGAGACGCCGAACTACCGGTATCTAGGTATTGTACATACTTGGGGGTACTATGGACACCTCCGTACACCAGTTGCTAGCTGCTCTTCTCACCGTCGTCCTCTGAACTGTGGCACAGCCAAGGCACCCTTTGACACGACGGTATGGCCAGAGTTGGGCTGTGGCAATCTGCAACGGCAACGGCGCGCAGTCATACCGAATGACAGTACACCATCCAAGAGCAGCTGGTGGTGATGCGGTGACACTAAAGTAACTGCCAGCGTAGAGCAAACCAGAACCGAACTGGCGGTGGCCGCCAGACCCCAAAGCCAGGAGCACCTCGCTTACTCAGGGACTTATTGTACTGTAACTTCTAAGGGCCCCACTGCCCGCAGTCCAATACACCTCGAGCGATGGCTGAGCTGGCTGGCAAGCCGTCATGATCAATGTCTGCCTGATACGGAGGTTGGGGCCATAAGTCTTTGGACTGGAAAGTTAGCGCATTTTGGCTTCAACGTACGAAATGCAGATTTGTGGTCGGGTCGCACTGTATTTCAACCGGCTCAGCCTTGGCCCTAGTTGCTGAGTCAGCGGTGTATGCTAGCGCACTGGGTACACTGAGCCAAGGCACTAGTGCCCGAGAAGTTTACTGAAGCGGCCGAGTTTTTGGGTAGACATGTGTACTGTGTGCACTGTACCATGAGCGGACCCACATATCCTGGCAGTCCAAAGACTTTTGGCCCCAACCTCCGTACTCCGTATTTGTCTCTGACTGGGCTTCAGGCAAGGCATCGGCTGTGGCTGAAACCCTGCCAAACTGCTGGATACCTAAAGTACTTGTACATAGGAAGTACCTTACATTCATTGTTAGACAGGTCACAACTTGAAAATGCAGTTCTCCCGTCGTCATCCTCTTCCGAATGCTTTCCCGCCCCCATCTACGGAGCCCGGCTTCCCGTCGCTTCCCTCGGCGCCTTTCCAGTAAAAGTCGGAGGCCAGTACATACCAGGATGTTCGCAGTTACTAGGTCATGCCACACTGTATGTACACTACTGTAATTACTGTATTGGACTGTATGTACTGTGCTACTCCTTCCTCTGTGCAGTGCTTTGTCAGACCCTCCAAATCCTTCGAGGACTGAGATGCGGGAAAGCAGTATCTGCCAAGACACCTTATTGATCTCCAATCCTCCACCATGGGATACAGGTAGGTACTGTCTTTGACTACCTACCCAGTCTCGATCCCCTTACGTTATCACTTCCAAAGGTGTAACTTCCGATGTTTGTTCAGACATGAAAGGGTAGACGGTCTCATTTCATTTTCCAAACCGGGCCCGGAATTGGACTTTTCCCGCAGACTTGCGGTTTGATAGAGAATGGAGCGGCTGGTTGTAATGTACAGTACTCCGTCCGTATCGTGATTACATTGCATACGCCCGGAAGCCCCGCGCCGTGGCGGGGAGCAAACGAAGCCCATCGAGCTGCCCGTGCATTGGATCCATCATGGATGCTTGACACTTCCTGGTACTGTATGTAGTTTGTCTGGTGCACATGTGTAATATTTTAGACAAGCCTTAGCTGCGGGGTTATTAGTGAGCTATCCACGCCACATGGCTTACTCTGGGCGAGGATGTCAAGCGTCTCGTTCGGTTTACAAAAGGACTGGATCGCTGTGTATGTACTCCGTAGTGTATGTATGTACATACCGGTATTCAGGAACCATACGAGAGAAGTCTACCCTTTTCGGCTTCACTCGGCGTACGACCTCACCCGCATGTGCATGCAGGCGCTGGGAGGCAAATATGTACGCATTGAGGCCGACCGAAGACCACTCAGGTTAGATTCCATATTGCGGTCGGATGCGTTGTGTATTTCAGCCACTCACGTCGACGGAGCGATGTATTTCTGAAGACACTGTATGGAAGACATCGTGATCCTATCCGTACCGGCGACATTCTCCCTGTCGCCTTCAAGGTCTGCAAAAAAAGATGGACATCGGCTAGCTTTGCGCAAATAGAAAGATCCTCCCATCTCTCTTAACTGGGAACAAAGAAAGATGTCAGTGTCCAACATAGTAGTTTCGGAAGCGGGATCTTCGTGCTTCAGTGACATTTCAACTTGGCCCTATGCACACAGTGCTTGCCTCCGGCTTGCGGTGTTCCGCAGCATGGAAACTGCAAGTCAGCTACGCCGGTTGTATCCAACCATAGTACTACGTAAGGTATACAAGAAGTAGCGAAGAGAAACCCAGCGCCGAAGTGGTAAGCACCATACCGGGAAACAGTTTCTGCTACAGAGTAGGACCCAGAAAGAATAACGACGTAGAAACCTATATAACTATATTCTACGCCGGAGGAGGAGGGCCCGTCTACAGTTGCCAGGTCATCGCTCTCCCATCCATCGCTGCAGTGTTTTGAAGGCACCTATACCTCCAGGTCAAGGCCCCATTGTCGTACGCCGAGCACGCTGTCAGCTCGTACAAGCAACCATGCTAAGGTGCTTACTCGATTCATTGAGCGCTGCGGGCACATGCGCCGGAGAGTTTTCAGTCATCAATTGCTTCAGGAGACTTTGGGATGACGGGCTCAAGTTGTGGTACCGGCTCTGTAACCGGGTTAAGGAGCCAATTCCTTCCGGATTACAACGTTACTCGTCATTACTCTCTACCCGGGAGACCGAGCAATATCCACATAAACCTGTGGCAGAGGTTGCAGTGATCTCTGGACTCCGTCGACACTCTAAAAAGCTGCTTTCCATTCGTTCTCGGCATAGCTTCCCGTCTAGCCACTGGTTCCATTTCTTGCAAAGTGAATGCGGAGGCAGATTCGAAGTTTAGCCGATGTAGCACGGCTCCTGCCGCTGCATTTCCCTTTCCTGGGACCGGGTTATGACATATGCTGGTGTCCTACTAGTCCTACTAGTACTACCTATTGACAGACCGTGTGTACGGAGGATGACTTCTCATGTCTGTACTTATTTATAATTCATAGGCGAGTCTGCACTATTGGTTATCATGTTGAACACGTGAACGCAAAGCACGACAGCTCGGTGACATTCTGTCAAGCTACTGGAGGGCCGCTCTGAGCGACAAACGAGGGCCTTTTCTCAAATTTCCTTCCCCGCTTGAGATACCTAGGTGATTACAGAAAGATTTACAATCGCAGCTTGAAATGCTCCTTCTTTGGCGTTGGGCTTGAAGCCGCATGGGGCAGGCTTGTTGGGCAACGAATTAGGATCTTTCCAAGGTTGGCTTTTTGAAACTCAAGACCAGCCCGATCATCCTGAGGCCCAGAAACGGGGATGCGGAGAGATCTGTTGATCCTAGGCCAGGGCCCGGGTCTCTGGGACCATGTGAAACTTTCGGACCTAAATAGATTCATCGACGTCCAAGTCATGTTGTCCTGCTGGCCGCGCTTTTGCGGCCTAGACAGCAGCACCACCCTCATTTAACCTTCGGCAAACCGAGGGCGTTGGACATATCTTTGACCACGGATCGACCTGTCCAACTTGTTACAATTAGTAACTCACGTACATACTGTATTGTACAGTACTGTAAATTCATGTGCCGAGGCGGCGCTGCTGCCCCTGCCAGTTCATGAAGCATCGGTGCGACATAGCTATTGGGGCGGATGGATGGTGCACAGCGATGCCCTTCTTTGTCAGCCAGGCTCTTTCTGATCATTCTCCGAAAGTGTTGCACTAGTCATTGGGGCTCAAGACCTGTCCCAGCACCAAATCCGTCAAAGAAGAGACCAAAGCTATCAAAAACGGGAGACAGAAGTCAGTGAGATTCCCCGGCCACCCAGGGTCAGCTGTTGAGGTCAAATGACAATCGCAAAAGCAAACTGCGAAACATTCAAGCTAAACTTGTGCTCCCCTACCGAGCCCACCGATTACTCATTTGCTTGTTTGCAAACGGCCGACACACATTGTAACATCCATGCGATGTGTCAAAGACCAACTCTAACTGTGATGCTTGTAGATTAGAAGGCCGGAAACTGTGTAAATGAGACGGCCAATATGGACACCAGGTAGCCAGTCAGCCAATCAGAAAGCCCATACTCTTCTTCAAAGTGAGAGGAAGACCTAATAGCCATTGTCAGAAAACCTTCCAATCTGCGAATAAAAGAGCCAAGCTTAAGCAAAATCCCATTGGGTCTTGCACCGCAGAAGAATGGGTGAATCCCATAGGTACATTGTCAAAAGAGATCTCCGCATTTACTGTTTTTCCCATCCTCCGTCCACTCAGACGGAGCCGGGGGTACGGGCGAAAACTGCATGTAACGCCACCGGTACCACTTCTCAACCTTTCCTGCCAGATCTTGACCTCCTTGAACACTCCGAGACTAAGCCCGGGGTCACACGCCTGATGCCAGCGGGAGAAACGAAGCATGGCGGGATATTCCGGGAAATCCACAAGGGGAAGGAGTTCGAGTCCGATACGATTGGGTTTGTGGGAGGGATTGAGAGACGAAAGCGAGCGACTGGCTTGCTAGCACCCGGTCCTAGTCCTGTCTCGCTGGTCTGAAACCGTCGGGCTTCTGGAGAAGAAACGACAGCCGTGAACCCAGGTACGTCTCTTTATAAACTGCGGGGCATGGCAGCTCCACGATAGCGCTGGAGTGCGGTGGTCTGGGCGGTACTAGATGTGATAGAACGACGAAAGCCAGGCCCTTATGCGGAAGAAGAGGCCTGGCGAGCAACGAGTCCGATGCATAAGGCAGCGGGAGGAACCCACGTATTTGTTGCCAAATTGGTGTGACAGCTCGGAAGGTGTTGATATAGGAGAAATCGTTAGCAGTATCCCAATCCAACTAAGCAAAAGCAGAACCCGCCTTCTTACCTTGGGAGAAGAAAAAGTGGTGAAGCCTCGTCCTCAACAGAATAATCGGAATCGAATTGTGCGGTGTCTCCCCTTAGGAAAGAAGAGCAACCGCACGCTGCGCATTGCACTAAAGTGTACGACCACAAGCTTCGTAACGGCCCTCCCAGAGGAAACCTGGGAAGAAGAAACCAACCTTCGCGTCGAGAGACACGAAGGCAGGTCATCCCCCAGGCCCTGCTTTTCTGATGCCAATTACAGACGCGCGATGGCGCCAAGCCGTCACCGGCAGGGCTCGCTACCCATCAAGATACCCAAAGGGCAAAAAGATGGACGAGCCAATAGTGAAGCCGATTCTCCGAATTTCTCATATGCCTGTGCTCGAAAGCATTGAAAGTACCGCTTGCGCAGGCTCTCCGTTTGTAGCATAGAAGCGCAGCGTTGAAAAGGACGAGGCTTCACAAGGGTAAAAGAGGAGGAAAGAGAGGAAACTTTTTGTTGGAGTCATATATAAACAGTTGAGGCTCAGTGCCCCGCAACGGGCTTCAGCCAATCATAGGCAGGTTTCAGCCAACCACCGATCTGTTTTTTCTTTTCTCTCTTTTTTTTCCCTCTGTTTGACCCCCACTTCGAGGTTCTCCGAGTCTCCGTTCCTCGCATCGTGGGACCGAAGGCTCGGTGGGCCACAGCCAAAGTGGCTCCTTCCAACCACTTTGTTGTATGCAATGGCCCAGGGAAGTCCTAGGTAAAGCCCCAGACCCTCCCCGTATGCCACGATGGCATCCTTTCCCCTGCGTGTTCTGGGGCCGGACCCGTTTCTGGAAACCCAGAGGATTGGATCATTGGACTGTTCTTGTCCTGCCCGATGCTGTTGTTGGTCGTTGACAACAGAGTCGTTTTTGTTCAGTTTTCTCTTACCTTCGTAATACCCGCTCTTCTGATTTTTCAGCTGCTCGCCGTCTCCCGTTCCGGCGCTCTCTTTTCTCCCTCGTTTCCCCCTTGGCACGACAAATGAAAGGCACTGATCTACTCGCTGCTCCTACTGTAGAGGATGACCTCCCGCATCTCTGGCAGAAGCCCGCCTACCCAGTTCTCCTCGAATGCCTCAAGGAACTTCGCGTCGAGCCTCGAGTCTGGAACCTGAAGGTTTCGCGTGTAGATATTCTCAGGGAGCAGCAGGTCGCCACGCCTCATGACCGCCAAGAAATTATCTCCTTTCTCTCCTCCATCATCAAGAGCAGGCTGCTGTGGCTCGACAGCGACGACGAGAGGGAGCTCATCTGGGAGGAGGCGAGCAGGCGCATGTCGGAACGTTGTGGGCGGACAGGTATGCTGACGTGCAGCTGATGATGGGTTCATTGGGCCTTGGGATATGTACGGCGGGCTGATGCTTCAGTTTATGGCAACAGCAATGGGGGAGATTACCCGGCGATGGCCTTTTGAGAACCCGGCCTACGGCGAGCCCTTCAGCCTGGCGATAAGAGAGCCGCCTCTGACCGGGGACTCGCTGGGCCTCAAGACATGGGGTTCGTCTTATGCTCTAGCTCGGCTCCTCCACGAATTTGCCGCCGGTCCGCTTGCGCATTTGTTCGTTCCTGGAGCGAGTCCTGGACCGGAAGAGGTGCTTGAACTCGGATCCGGCACCGGCCTCCTGGGGCTAGCGGCCGCTTGCATCTGGAAAGCGAGCGTGGTCCTCACCGACCTCCCCAGCATCATGCCCAATTTGATACACAACACCTCCCTTAACCGAGACGTCGTCGAGGGAAGAGGCGGCAGAGTCGAAGCTGCTGCTTTGACCTGGGGAGGTGGTGAAGCGGACTCGAATCCCAGATTCAGAACCCTGCATCGTTACCGGGTTAGAGAAACCACTCCGCCACATGACACTGTTTCTATAGCGGCTAACCTTTTTCCTTTCTTATTCACAGCTCATCATCGTTGCTGATCCCCTCTATGACGATGAGCACCCTGCTCTCCTGGCAAGCGCCATCGACGAGCAGCTTGCTTCCAACTCGGACGCTCGCGTCCTTGTCATGGTTCCACAGAGGGATGAGGCAACCAAGAGTCTCCTTGGGGACTTGAGAGAGGAGTTAGCGCGGCGAGTCACTCCGTTGGCCTGCGTTGAGGAGAGCGTTGTGGCTGGCCAAGATGACTGGGGAGATGAAAATGACGATGAGACGCAAGGAATAAGCTTCTGGTGGGGAATTTTTGGCAGAGTTCAGTCAACAGGAAATTGGATCCGAGACGAGTGGTAGGATAGGTCTTGCGTATGTTCTAGACTCATAGAGAGTATGGACTGGTAAGCATAGAGGTAGATGTAGAGGTAGATGTAGAGGTAGACATAGAGGTAGACATAGACACCTGGGCGTAGAGCTTGAACCTAGATATCCTGTTCATCATCATTCTCAAGTCTCGACTCCCCAGTTACCAAGGCATGATGATACAATCTCATGCCAAAGCTCTTCACCCCGCCCGCACTCGCCGAGAGGATAGTGGACGAACAGTGCTTTACTGATGCGGAACAGAGTGTAGCGGTACTCCGCGTAAAAGGCTCCTCAGACGCTCTATGAATCCGACGGGGCTCGAGTTTAATAGGTGACTTAATGGCGATGCAAGATATGATGGCATGACAAGTGAAACCTCTTATTCATCTGTCTGCTCTGCCGCTGGTTGCAAGGGAACCGAAGCCACCTACTGCTTGATTTTGCTTGCAGTGCACCTCCCAATCAATCCAATTATGAGGCCTAAAGAAGCTACCTGATATGGTGACAGAAACGACACAGCAGAAGTCCAAATAGATTCGTCATTCCAGATTAGACGCCCCTGATATCCAAACCCCGGATCCCGGCGCCTTCAGAACGAGGGTAACAGTGTACGCACAATGAACGGGGTATCTAACATGACTCCGAAGGAACAAATGAACAAGCGAATTGAGTCAAGACATTAAGTATATGGACAGTGAAGCAGAGCTAACCGGCACTGGAGGGGTTGAAGAAGGCACGACATCGATAAGGAGCAGATGGAAACCTTCAGGAAGCTTGCGGAACGAGGCAGTCAGCGTTTTGTTAACGGTTTGATGGCCGTAATGTTAGGGACGCGAGATCATTCAATCATATCACCGGCAAGGTGCCAGCAGCCACCAGAGCGCCAGGGTGTTTCGACTTCCTGGGATAGCTGTGACAGAGGGCCCTTAGAGGTATCTGGAGTCCCGACGCGAACGAGGTGATGCCAGGTTTCCGTGAATGCTCGTTAGGTTCGAGTCCAAGCCCGCAGTGAGCGTGTGGCTTCCGCTAAACTGCAATCGATATGTTCTTCCTCGTCTCGGCTTCTTCAACTTGGATACCAAAGACCAGCTTAAACAAGTCCCTGAGGAAGCCATACTGGGCAGACCGCAAGCTCATCCAGCTAACACTCTTGGAAATCTCAAGCGCACTGAAGCGCTTACCCCGGGCCGGCAGGCTAGTTAAAGAACGGAAAGGCGTGTCGCCCAGAACTAGGTTCTTATAGTTCTGCAGCAGTGCTGCATGACTGGGCAGAGAGCCAAAGGAGCCTGTCGGTAGACTCTTCACAAATGATTGCAATGACGCGCCCCCACCAGTTCCGTCAGCCGCCACTGCATCACGGCTGAAGCCGACGTTCATAGCAGCCTTCACTACCAGCGCCTTGATACGAGTAATGTTGATATCCTCGACAGTCGCGGCAGTCGTTGCGGTGCTGGAGGTGTGTTGACTGCCTTGGCTGTAGCCTGATAGGTTCGACGCATTGCTTGACCAACGTCCGCCACGATCGCTTCGCGAGTCGCCCGACGGTCCAAGCACCAGGATATTGGGCATTTGCGGGCTAGCGTCGGGTGATACAGGCGTGTCTTCGAACTCGGTAACAGGTGTTTCGGGCACGATTGGGTGCGTTCGAGGGCGGTCGGCATCAGCGAGGCTGCGGAGACTCTCACGCTTTGAATGTATCGACGCACGGCTGCCGGCATTGGAGCGGGAAACATCAGATTGATGGCTGCTCGCCGGCTGCAAACCGTACGGTGGACCGGCGGCGAAGAAGTTAATTTGATTTGGCCGGGGGGTTCCGCGATCCGGCCGAATTTGAGTCCAGCCCTCTCGGAATATGTCACAGAGCTCCCAACACGCCTGTACAGCTGAGCCGAGAAGCTCCTCATCGGGCGCTTTGCCGTCTCGCTTGTTTTGGCGGAGGCTGAAGAGCATCTCGGCCAACGCCCAGCAGGCACGCAGTAACGAATCTGTCTCCTCAACTAGCTCACTTCGCTGCTTCATGAGTCGGTGACACAGTGTAATATAGAAGTCCAGGGTCCGCTCCCTGAAAGCCTCGGGGAGCGACCGGCTGTCTTGAGCGCTATACAGGCTGGAGCAAGCTGTTAGACCAACCGTTGGCATAGAGTAGGAACTAAATCGACGGTCACGTACTGATTGTTGAGCTCAAAGCTGACTCTGAGGATGGAATCGGCTGTTTCGTCCTTCCTTTGTCGCACATCGAACAATGCTTGGCAAAAGTCGCGACACAGGTCGAGATTGGTCCGAACACCATACGATTCGGAGACATCGTCTCGGCTGTTATATAGTCGCTTGCAGAGCTTCCAACAACTCTTCCAAGCTCTCTCATGAGCATCCGGTGTGCCGGAACTGTTGAAGACACGTTCTCGATGAATCGAACTGAGATTGGCAAGCGTATTACACAGCGTCCAGCACTCCTCAAGGGCTGCTGTGAGCGCTTTGACCTCGGAATCTTGGCATCGTGTCGAATTCGCAAACTCGTCAACATCCTCAAAGTCGTCCTCTCCCTCCAATTCGTGGCTCTCGGGTATCACTACGAGTCTGCGTCAGATGTACGGTTTCTAGAAGGACCTCCGATATCTTACACTCTAAGCTGCTTGCTGTGCTCGACCGCAGCCTTGAAGATTCGCCTGCAAGCACATCTTCTAATCTCTGAGCCTGCGGTGTCGGTGCGTCCATGCCAAATGCCACTGGCTTGACCTTGGTGTTGACCAACGGTGGGTTATGGCTCGGTGATATCTTCGCCCTGCTGTGTGAGCGGAAGTTGTCTAGATGGGCTTGGACGACCGGATATACTCACTACTGTTGATGGCTCGCTGGGCGGAGGGCTCGTGGTGCTGCTCTCCGCGCTCGCACCGCTTGTCGAGTTAGTGACGCTCGTTTTCGAGACCGTGTCACTCGACTTCTGCAGCTATTCGCCGTTAGTGTGGGGCATCCATGGTACGGTCGATACCTCATGGAACCTACCCAATCCTCGAAACTTGGTGGTGCGTGTATTACCGAGACGACTTCTTCGGTCAATGGCCTTCGAATGTGATCCGGTATGTTTGTTTTTAGCGTCATCAGCTGAGAGACGTTAGCTAGTTGATCAGCGCCTTGTTGCAACCACAGTTGACGCACAGAATTCCGCCGTTGATTTGTATTCTCCTCAGCATTTTCCACTGCCTCGTCGTCTTCTATCTCTGTTGTTTCAGTTCCGTTGGAGGTTACGGGAGAAGGGCCGACAATGTCGCTACTCGGGCTCAGAAGATGAGCTGAGCTTGGTCTCGCGTAAGAAGTAGGGCGAAGAGACTGCGACTCGGACGCCGAGGAGGACCTAAGAGATCAATGTAATGGTCAATCGATAAGAACCGCCAAAGAGAGTTTAGAGGAAGTCGTACGCCACATACTGGGGCGGCAGGGCCGGGGACTCTGGCCCTGACGACATGGGCATATCGGCGTGAGGCGAGTAGCTCAAAGTAATGCTTCCTGTGGATGATCGCAGGGGTGCTTCAAGAGCCATTGCAGCCAGAGCTCGGACGTTACGCAGTTGGTCAACGGAGCCAGGGGGCAGGAGGGAGGGGTCTGCGAGGATGATAGACGATTCGAGGGCCGCTGCCCTGGCGTGCGCGACGGTGCAATTTGGAGGGTCAAGGCAGCAAAAGACCGGTTGCGACAAGTTTGATCAGACCCGCGGCAGACAGCACAGTGTCAGCTGCGACGATGGGGAAGAAACAACTGGAATGCCACAGGCCTGAGCGCGGTTGTTGGTCGTTGATATCGGATACACGGATGTCAGAATCCCAGGTGTTCTCAGCGTATATCCAAACTATAGCTCTGCGCTGAGTACCTAGATGATCAGAGCGGCGAGATAGCGAAGAGAATAGCGGCGGATGTCGTCCCTTAATGAACTCGGGACGAAGAGGATGCGACGTCGTCCCGGGCTATGGACCGGACAGGGAAAGGCCAACCGGCCGAGGGAGTCTTGCTGCAGAGCGATGGATCGCCGACGTGCGGCTTCAGCCTGATTAGGGAAACCTAAGGTAGGTAGGGAATCCAGAAGAGCGGAATTTGCGCGGGGAACCCAAGGGCGTCAAAACAGCACAGCTGTCAGGACGGGACTTGTCGAGCGACAAGCAACGCTGCTTGGCAGCAGGTTCATAAACAACCAGAGCCAACCTAGCTAGAGGGTGACAACTCTGGCTTGATCGTGATTCGTGACTGCGTAAGAGCGGCGGAGTTTCTCACGCGTGGGTTGACTTGAAGAAATCCCAGCACTCCCGTCTTCCGTAGTCGTGAGCGGGGGGGAGAGCTGTTGCTGCGCTTAAAGGAGCAAAAGCAGCCAAACGGGATCGGCAGCAAGGTGGGGAGGCGCTCCACCCCGTTATGCAGTTAGGTGCGGTTCTGCACCTAGGCAAGGCTAGCGTCCTGCCATGAACTGCACTAACTGGATTGCTGGAACGTTAGTTACCCGTAATTGACGCCGACCGTCGCCGAGGATCAATCACCTCAGTCCCGAGTACATACATACAGCATCTACCTAGATAATTAGGTAGTGTAAGGTAGGCTTCGCCTGGATAGAACGGGCAACACTACCTAAATGGGCGCGAACAGAGACATAACACAATCTGAATCAACGCATATCTAGTTGAGTTAAGGTACTGACCACTGCGGCGCAGTATTGGTGGCACCATTTAAGTGTAACGTTGGTTTTCGCGTTTACCTAGACAAGACGCGGCGTGCCCGAGCGCAATCCTTTAATTACGCAGCCCAACGTCTCCTTCAGTACGAAGCGTGGAAAGCCTAATAAAAAGTTTCGATGATGGGTCTCCCTAGCCAGAGCGACGGTGCTCAGGGTGGTCGATTGATAACCGGGTAAGCGCAGAAGCCGAGCTTCTGCATAGCTTGTCCTCATCTCTCACATCCACAGCCAGGGGCGAATGCACGTCGATGTTGCTTTCGCCAGTGGGAAACTGGCGGGCAAGCCCCTCTTCTGTTGATGTGCTGCAAGGCGGTGGGCGTCGGCGCTTAGGGAGTCGTTGTGGAGTGGAGGGCTGTGGCTCGCTTTGCCAGCAAGTCAGCGACGGCTGTTCGACAGGGCCTCCTTGTCCTATGGAAGCTTTACACAGTACGGATTGGGTGGTGGGGGCCGACATCTGGCCAATTGGCAATCACACAACTACTAGCAGCTGCCAGTCGTACTGTACGGTACTGTACATTACTGAAATTACCAGCCACGCCCTGATGTTACCTATACGGTAGGTAAAGAACTATGTATTCTTCCTGTCTAGGCCAACCTTTTAGACTACTCCAGCCCGCGATGCTGTGATGGGATACCGAGCACAGACCGTAAGCGGTCGGCACAGCAGGATGATGACTCCACTTGGAGGGTCTTGCATCGGGGTGGCGTGCTGAATCACAACAGCCTAGGCAGCCCACATCCATGGCGAGCCGATGGAGACTATAATACCAGCAGGTGGAAAGGACCGAGGAGAGGTGCGCGAAATTCAGGGCAACCATCGTCGACCCGACGTGGGAGATTCTGCAGATTGTCAAACCATCCACTAAGTAAGGTACTTATGTAGCCGCATACACACAGTGCATTCTCCTCCAGAAATCGGGGAAAGGCTGGGGGGCAGGTTGGATACCGTTACTCCGTTCCGTACGTTTGGTTAAACTGGAGCATTGCTTCGGCTTCCATTTCCTAGGTACGCTACACGTACGGAGTACAATACATTGGTATCAAGAGGCTACACTTCGATGCTCTCCTTGCAAAATCCTGCTGTGATTTGATATGTTCAAGTCCCAATACCAGGTCTCATGGTAAGAGCTTCGTATATATATCTCCAATTGATCAAAGCACAAGCCGGAGATGTTCTGTACCGTCCATAACGTTACTCGCTGGGGCGGGATCCCGTCCCGGCGATCTGGTACCGGTTCCCTTTTGGCACTAGTGAAATGGAGCACCACCGGGTCCACTACTCGTCTGGGTATGTTGTATTTTTCCGCAACACGATACATTTCGTATGGATGTATCCTAAGAATGTTCTGTGCCTGCTCTTGTCAAGGGCTTTCGCCAGCAACTTTCCATTCTCAAGATAATCAGCTGAAACTCTCTTTGTTCAGAGGAATACACTGCCTCCTTCTAACTTGCTGGGTAATGCCACTCACTGCTCATCAAATGAAGGTGGCATAAGAATACCGCGCTGGTGGTCTGCGCTTGGGCCTTCCTAGTGTTGTAGTTCAGCATTAGAGCGCGGGCGGCTGACAACCTACACAACGCGGCTAAAATTGTTACCAGGCCTCCTCCAGTTCGTTGTCGAATCGCTTGCCCATGTATAACGCACGCTCGATTGCCTGGTTCACTGTATCTTTACCGGTTGGCACGCGAACCAACAACATGCTGACCACCCCACCATTCTCACCGCCATCAAGTCTTAGTGTAGACGCTGTAGGAGGGGAGGCTGTAGTCGGGGTCCCGGATGGATGGAACCAAGCTACCTAAGGTACAACGTAGCTGTGCCACAGATCATGGATCACTTCTAGAAGCCCAGTACACACGAGGCACGCCTCACTTGGAAAATGATTTCCAGCCATGTCCGATTACCGGGCCTGTGTATGAAATGAGAAAAGAATGATTCCAAGTGTGGATAAAGCCTCGAACATGAGCCGCCTTTCAAATCTTCACATAGTGCTCACTTGCTATGTTGATGCCCAGCGCCGCTAAGGCACGTCCTACCCTTCACATGACAGCGAACGGCTGCTCGATCTTGCAGCGACGCCGCCGTCCCACATTGACAACTCATCAGTCTTTATGCAGTTGGTCCAACCTCGCACGCTAAGCACCCCAAAAAAATGCAGAGATTTTCTTTATTCGGCCCCCTTGAAAAATGCGACCCTAAGACCTATCCGCCCATATCAGAAAATCAAACCACTCTGACGCCCGACTTGCTGGTGAGAGCCAACCTAGACTAAGGGTTCCTTGGTTGGTTGACTCGTCGAAACACGAATAACGCTCTCACTTTTAACGCCCGAACATGCATATCGGCAAGGAATTTACATCATTTGTTGTTGCTTCTCCAGATCGCGGGCTTGTATCTCGAGCTTCTTGAGGTTGCGGCCATCCGGAGTATACCTGAGCGAATAACGTCAGGCCATCTATATCTGGGATCAGATATCGGCGGAGGCAAGGAAACATACTTGAGGAGCTTTTCAATGAGGTCGACGTGGGTCATGACCATACGCCGGCAGCAATACCGCTTGCAGCCAAGCTGGTCCAGAGCATCTCTAGCATCGCGTCAGCAATCGTATTTGCTTCGGCGCTAGAAGAGGCATCCCGCATACCCATCTGTGAGCCCGTCCTCCTCAATAAGCTTGATGAACTTTTCCCAGAGATCCCCTGTCACCTAGAATGGAAGCTGGAAGTTAGCGTAAAGAGTAGAAGACCCAGTGGCGTAGGCGACATGCCTTGCCGCAGGAGAAGCACCGGATCGGGATGATCATTGTTGAAGATAACGATCCAAATCTGACGAGAAGAGCGGTGGAAGAGTATTGCGCCGAGTTCAATGAACCGAAAGTACGACGATCTGCAGCGACCGGAAGGCGGCGCAAGGTTTGGTGTTGAAGTTCGCTAAAGTTCGCAAAGTGTGATGGCGTTGCGAAACATTCTGTAACAACGTGAACCTCGTCAGATCTTTGTCCTAGGCACATGCATGGCGAGTGCATGGTCCGTGCGTATCACTGATAAGGCGAGATTCCCCTGCCCCACTCTAACTTTTTCGACATCGCTGCCAAATTTTTGTTCCCAAGGGCATATCAGTACTTACTTGACTTGGGCAGTTGGGGACTGGGCTTCTGGTGTTCGCCTTCGATATTGGTCTACGAAGCCGGCGCCGCTATCTCTGCTGACTACTCTGCCAGTCACACATCGCCCAACATGATCTCGAAAATGGACACCAACGGCGACACGGCTTCCTTGAAACGGAAGCGCGAACCGAGAGACGACTCGCCGCTTCTGCAGAAGAAACACCGGCGGAGATCAAAGTCGAACATGGAGGGCAATATCATCTCGGATACAAGCGCCAATGGCAAGCACCGGCAAGACAATGTTGCCCCGCAACAAGTCAACGGTGACCCGGATTCTTTAGGCCGTCCGTCGCAACCTCCTGAAGATAGTTCGTTCCCGCAGTCAGCGACAATATGGAAACTGTCGAAGCCAATGGGTGGCAGGATGTTGGATATTGATCCCATTTTCTCCCTGGATGAAAGGTGTGCAAAGCAAAACACAAGGACCAGGCGGTGGCAGTAGGGAGAGTGCTTTCTGACTCCTTTAGGCATTTGATCATCACATACAACACCTCGATACAGGTGTATTCTACCGAGGACTCCCTGCTCGTCCGCAGGATTGCTCTTCCGCTGATGAGGACGGACGACTCGACCGAGCATGTGGCCACTCATATCGTATCGTCAGCATTATCAAAGTGCTCCCCAGACCACATTTGGGTCGCTTGCTCCGATGGGCGGGTTTGGCGCATTAATTGGACGTCAGGCGCGGGCGCCGACACCCCTTTCGCTGTCGACACAAAAAAGCTTCTGGATATGACCGTGGATGCGGTTGATATCGGGGGCAAGGTTGAGGATGTCTTACTCGTTCTGAAGAGGCTTACCACAAGTTCCGCGCAAATAACCGCATATGACCACGAGGCCCTGTCGACGAACAACGGGAAGCTACTTCACACTTACGACGAGAACCCGCAATTGCTGCGATCCGTCGCAGGTGGCAGATTGATTGTCGCCGCGGCAAAAGAGACAGTACACATTGGCTTGCTGAAGTCCAAGAAGCCGGCATCACTACACGATCTGGCCTATCGGTTCCATTCTCTTGATGTGCCCGATATCATCAGCTGTCTGGACGTTAGACCCACCATTCGGACAACCAAGAAGTGGGGCGTTGAACTTCAGTCTAGCAGTCTTGCTATCGGGTGTGCTCGAGGCGCAATCTATCTCTATACTGATCTCCTCTCCCAGCTACCTGGCGACGGTTCCGGCTCTTCAAAGGCAGGTCTGATTCAGCCAAGGAAGTACCATTGGCATCGCAGAGCTGTTCACAGTCTCAAGTGGTCCGAGGATGGTAGGTGCCCGGCGGAGCGATACTGTATGTTGGGGTTTTCGCTGACAAACGAAAAGGCAACTACTTAATCTCCGGCGGCTACGAGACTGTTCTAGTTCTCTGGCAACTTGACACTGGGAGATTAGAGTTCTTACCACATTTGTCTGCTGCCATTGAGAACATAGTCGTCTCACCCCGCGGGTCGTCTTATGCAATTCATTTGGATGACAACTCAACCATGATCCTGTCGACCGCCGAGATGAAGCCGACCATGTACGTGTCAGGGATTCAATCTCTCGTACTGGGAGATCGGCCATCTAAAGAGGCCTTGGTCCGCCGTGTCTGGCGGCCGGTCGATGAGATCGCCGCGCCGTTGGTTGCCAGCGTCAGCCCTCAGAACCCAACACAAATGTTCTTGTGCGTTGGCAATGGGCAGCAAGCCACCGTTGGAGGAGGGACATCATCGACACCTCTCCTTCAAGTGTTTGATATTTCTTCATTTCAAGGTGTTGCTAAACACGCCATCGCACGAACCAACCCCTCAGACGCTAATATAACCAGCGAGGGCGCGCCGATCATTGAACCGACAACCACCAAACTCGCCTTCTCCCGGGATGGTAAATGGCTTGCATCGGTCGACGAATGGCAACCGCCAGAACGGGACACCGAAGCTTTCTTAACTGGGTCAAAGACACCTGCCGAAGTCTGCAGGGAAAGACGTGAGATTTACCTCAAGTTTTGGGAAGTTGGCGCAGATGGGAACACTCTCGAGCTTGTCACTCGCATCAATGACGCCCATCGTTCCGATTACGATGGGGTGATATTTGACCTCGCGAGTGATCCGACCTCTTCCCGCTTCGCTACGATTGGGAATGACGGAACGGTGCGCTTTTGGTCCTCGAAACTGCGCAAGAGAGATGGTCACGCAGCCGCTCGCCCAGACGGGGAACCGTTGCGGAGTTGGACCTGTTCGCGACTTGTTTCTCTCCCTGTGTACGAACAGCAGGATGACTCGGTCGAGATGGCGCAACGGACGCCTCGTGGCGGCGCCATCACATTTTCCGAAGATGGTTCCATACTCTTCGCTGCATTTGGCGGGCCATCTGGAGCTCTGGTTGTCGCCATCGACACCGAGACCGGGACCATCCGTGATGTTCTTTCGGGCATGTTCAGTGGCGGAATTCGGGCAATAAAGGCGCTCTCGTCGTGCCTCATTTTACTCTCAGAGGATCTGGTTGTCTACGACGTTGTCTCAGATGAACTACTCTACAGCTTCTCCCTGAAGGAAACATCGGAAGCTGCGAAACGGCTGACACAACTCGCGGTCAACCATACTTCGCAAAGTTTTGCGCTTGTCGCCCCGGTACCAAATCCTGCTCAGGAAAAGATGAAGAGGGGCGTGAGATCAGAACTTGTCATCTTCAACATCGAAGACCCAAGGCCGCAATTGGTCAAGACATTCCCGCAAATCATTACATCCGTATTTGCCACGCCGGCATCATCCGGCTTCGTTGTCGTCGACTCAGCAGCCCAGATCTGGTCTGTAACCGAGGGCGCCGATCAAGCTCCTCTCCTCCAACCTTTGGCCGACTTGGGGGTGAGCGACAGTGTCGAGGCGAGTTTGAAAGCGGCGTCCGAAGAGTCCCCTATCCCTGAGGGAGACGCTAGTGATGAGGAAATGCAAGATGTGGATCAAGATGTTGAGATGGACGATGACGACGACACCCATGCCGCTGTTGTGGCACCTCAACGTCTAGCTGAGATCTTTAACGCTGCGCCTGCTTTTGCAATGCCCCCGATTGAGGATATCTTCTATCAAGTAACCCGACTGTTTGCGAGCAAGCCGGTTAACGCTTGAGTAGTCGGCGCCAGCCGATCCTCCCGACGGGTCCATCCTACGCGGGCCCTGAGAGGCCCCAAGACATTCGCCTCAGCACAGCTAGTTGAGTCTACACAAACCCTCTGCTTGCGGTTGCTCCAAGCGACTTCGTACCAGGATGCAAAGCGGGCGAGCTTTGCAAGACAAATGAGTCTATGTCAGCCCCGAAGCATTGAGTATACCGCTGAATCCTGGGGAATAGAGTATAAAGGGCTGCTGCCCGTTTCTGAGCACAGAAGTGGCAAGGCATAGGCACGCTTGTGAGATGTATCGCAGCTTTGTTACGGACACAGCCAAGAGCTGTGCCGAGGATCGGTTCTGGCCCCGCGACCCGCCCCCTCATGTAGGATGGGAATGCTACTTGATGCAAATTGCGGGGCAAAATGTGCAAATGCGCCGATGTCGACTGATGGCGACATCGTCGGAGGATGGAGGAGTTGAAACCGATCTCAGGCATAGTGAGATGGTTCATTAGTAGAGTGCTAAGGTAGCCGTGCGTGAGCACAGTTAAGGTACTGGAGCTTTTTGTATACGATACCCGGCTAGCATACCCTTTAGCAGATGCAGCCTCTATAGGAGAAGGCACCCGTCCTGTCTAAACATTCTCCCCTTCTCCTTAGCTACTTTCCACGCCTCGTGGAGATTACAAATGAAACAGTCACCATATACTTGCTTGAGACACTCCCCTGCTCAAGTTGTCTTGCTTTGTCCATCGCAGCCAACATGTCCTTCACCTCCATTCCCATCTTGGACCTGTCATTAGCTCAGGATCCGGCTACAAAGCCCGGGTTCCTGGCTGAGTTGCGACATGCGCTGATGGAAGTTGGTTTCCTTTATCTCAAGAACGTCGGCATCCCGGCCGAACTCTTCGGGCAGGTCATTGAAGAGGGCAAGGCCTTTTTCGATATTCCTATGGAGGAGAAGTACGATCCCGCAGCGGTCACATGTCGTCTGCAACCCGCTGAACGTCTCCGCAGGCTCAAGATCGAAATGAAAAATGCACCCTCGTTCTTGGGGTACTCGCGCCTGTCTGCAGAAATCACGGCTGGCGCCATCGACCACCGGGAGCAGATTGACCTGTCCACGGAGCACCCCCTTCCCGGCCCGGATGCGCCGCGCTACTACAATCTTTTGGCGCCAAACCAGTGGCCGTCGCCTGACGTGCTTCCCAACTTCAGGCCCGCGTTTACCGAGTACATGAAGCGCATGGGGAGCATCTCCATCTACTTCACCAGCCTGATCGCCGAGGCCATCGGGCTGCCGCGCCACGCCTTCGAGAAGTACTTTGACGCGGACCAGCAGCACAAGCTCAAGATTGTAAAGTACCCGGACGTCGGGACGCTGGGAGCAGCGGGCAAGGATGGGAACCAGGGCGTTGGGCCGCACAAGGATAGCAGTACGATCCATTCCGTTTGGAGTTCCCCCTACCGCCTCCCCCCCTCTCCACCCCGGCCCCCTTAGTTACCCCTCCTGCTTCTACCCGCGCCTGCAAGACCCACGAACACGATTGAAGAGGGAAGATAGTATACTGACTGGGAATAACAGTGCTGACGTCGTACCTCCTCCAAGCGTCACACCACCGCGGCCTGCAGGTGCAGAACATGCGGGGCGAGTGGATCGACTGTCCGCCCGTGGACGGCACGCTGGTGGTGGCTATTGGGCAGGGGCTCGAGGCCCTCACGCAGGGCGTGTGCGTAAGCACGACGCACCGCGTCCTGTCGCCGCCAGCGGGGGCCGGACCACGCTTCTCGATCCCCTTCTTCCAGGGCGTGAGCGGCGACGCCGAGTTTGAGGACCTGGAGCGCGTCGGAGTCGGCCGCGTGCCCGACCACGTCAGGAAGATGAGGGAGCAGGTGCTGCAGCGCAACGGCGGGCGCCGGCTCGACGACGTCGAGTTTACCTTCCGCAAGGGTGGTGCCGCGAGGACCCTTGGCGAGGCGACGCTCAGGAATCGTGTCAAGAGTCACCCAGATGTTGGGGAGCGGTGGTATCCGGACATTCTGGCTAGTGTCAGGGAGGAGCAGGCTCAGTTGAAGCAGCAGCAGCAGCAACAGCAGGAGAAGGCGGAGGAGGGTGCTCGGAGAGAGGCTATTCAGGGTCCTGTCACGAGCAGTAAGCCCGTGGAGGCACATTAAGACGTTGTGAATGAGCAGCTTGCCAGCGGACTGCGCCGCAGATGATTGGATTTCATGTCTCGTATTCGATGGACTAGGCATTGCGGCAGGGGCAGACATTGACTGGCCTATTGCCCTCTTCCTGCTCATCCATGATCCGGAAGTAGTAGAAAGACATGAATGCTGGTAGAAAATCAGTATTATTACGCCTCCCCTCGACGCCTTCTCCTCAACACCAAGAGAGCCTTCCCTCGCTCCGCCATTGTGTCGTAAATCGTGTCCAGTCGTGAATCAAAGGGCATGCCGCTTGTTCATTTGGCGTCCGAGGGTGTAAAGGTGGGGAAACATTGCGCAAGGGTAGCGTTGTGCTTGTTCTCGGCATGTAGTGTAAGTCTGGGAGGTTGCCATGGGTCAGCCAGGACCAAAGTCCAGTACTATGTGATAGGGAAGTTGAGGGGGTTATGTACTGAGGCGCCCGAGATGTTGATAGGAAGGTCTGCTTGCACGTGACGCAGACAATGTTCATGGCAGCCGAGTTCTGTAGGTACGCCGCCTTGCTGTTAGATGCAACCTCGTCGGCGGTTGTGCAATCGGGTTGGAGACAGCACATACGCTCTTCAACTGCGATTTAGCGGCTGGGGCGGCCTTCTCCTTGTTGCGGGCGCGCTTCTGCGCTGCCTTGGCTCCCTATGAAGTTGCAATTCTTACTTAGTCATGGCTGGCTCTTGGGATCTGCGTGTGCCCGACTGATGATGGAAATTCATCCAGACATACGTTACCGCCGCCCATTTTGCTTTGGATTTCCACAGCTCCACCGATACAATACCCCTTAGGTCTACTCAAAACCGGCCGCCGCTGTCTAGAAGTCGTCTCCTTTTTTCGGTTTTGTCTTTTTCCCTCCCCTCGTCGACGAGTGAAAGCGTACGTTGCGGTTGTCGACAATCCGATTCCAGACCCTGAAGGTCGGAGTGGAAGAAAATGGTGGATCTTCAACTGGGAACCAATTCAACCAACCCGACGTCCGACGGCTGCCGCACAGACCACTTTACCAGAGCCTGCCCGATTTGGAAAATCTCAATTCCTTAGCTAATTCTTCTGGCCCCAAAACCAGGCAGCCGTCTGACAGATGATAAAAAACTGTATCCGTACTCGAGCCGTGGAACTCAAGGGTTCATGAAGAGGTCGGATGATTGTCCCGTACATATCCGACAAGATAACTAACGATAGACCCGGCTGACCCGATCGGACCGGCCATGCACCTGCATCAGTAGATGCTTGCATGCGATCTCAAGAGTGCCACGCCGCGTTATATTGTCAAATCAAGATCCCGCTTAGCCGGCCGTTCTCGTCTCGACCCTGCCTGCATTAGCTTGCCAGCATTCCCGAAGGGCGGTGAAGGGCCAATCCGGCTGCGGTAATCTTCTCCGTGCCATGTGTCGTACAATACTCCATCGGGCTTCGTAACAACGGGAGCACGGTGACAGGGCTTGATCATCAATCCTCCAGATCAACGTATCTACGGCACGGGCTCCCGAACGTGAAGCGGTCGGTTGCATTGGGCCGGTGGATCTTGCCGGTCACAGCACTCGCAGGCATCTCAGATCGCCAACATCCCAACCCAATATCCTTCCTAGCGGGCAACTACACGCGGTATCATCGAGTGCCACATCGTGCTCTGCGATTATCAGAAAACGCAATGGCCAAGTCGGCCCTCCCCTCCGCGGATAACATTTCCATCGACGAATTCCAGAGGTACCTCGAACAGTATCCATCGTGTCTGAAGGCGATATCCGAATCCAAAGGAGGTAGGGAAGATCCACCAGCGCCTACAGGATGCTGTCTTCTGATGCTCCACGTTAGCCAAGCCTGGTCAGGAAACGCTTGCTAGCCTTGACCACTATCGCTATGAAAAGGCGATAGACACATTTCGGTCCAAGGATAAGAGCGTATCTATGGGCCTTGACGATGTGAAGACTCTCGTTGAGTGGAAACTGTACGTGGTGGTTTTCTTTCATCGCTCTCCCTCTCAGCTCGCCGCTACCGATGCACGACAACATGATGCCGGCCGAAACACACTAATAGTTATTCCACTTCCTGTTGACTAAATCTGGCCACAGCCGTCATGGCAAGTTTCGACCCACTTTGATGAAACTTGTGTCTTCGAACGAGCCAGGTTTCGTGAAAGACACTATCCAGAAAGCCATCAACCACTATCGGCGGAAGTCGGACTTGGCCGGCACCCTGAACATTCTAACACAGCTCAAAGGCATCGGCCCGGCCACTGCATCTTTGCTTCTAGCGGTCCATGACGCCGAAAATGTCATATTCTTTGCGGATGAGGCCTTCCACTGGTTGTGCTGCCATGGGTCTAAGGCGCCTATCAAATACGATCAGAAGGAGTACATGGAGCTAAATAGACGAGCCCAGGCACTAGCCAAGCGACTCAGCGTCAAGGCGGTTGACGTGGAGCGTGTGGCATTTGTTCTGATGAGAACTGTCACCCCGGAAGCGCCAGCAGGAGCCGGCAAACCATCCTCGGAGCTACCAGCCGACAACAAGGCCAAGAAACAGCCAGCAAAGCGAAAGGCTTTGGATGATGATACCAGCGTTGAGCCCCCCGTCCGGCGCTCCAAACGAGGGAAGAAAACTTAGATTTCGAAGGTATTATACACGGGAATCCGGAACCACAAAACCGCCCAGGGCCGCTCTCTTTCAGCCCTGTCGAAAACGTTGCAGATAATGGCTATCGGGACCACCCTCAATCTGGGCATTGTACCTCGAAAATCCCCTATTGGTGGCTACCGTGACAATTCTCCGTTGAGATGCTGTCCGGCGAGGCGGCCCGCGGCTGCGGACATCGACCCCTGTCACTTGCAGGGAACGGCCCAACCACTTACAACTGGCATTTCGCCGCATGGCTTCCCCTTTCAGCAATCGCAACGCATATTGACTGGTGGGTTGGAATCTGCAAGCTGAAACAGCGTCTCTTTATGGGTACAGATTCACATGGACGTTATATCTCAAATATTATTTCGCATGAGTTATCAATCAGTCGTGCTACCCTTTCCTCGTGGGTCATCCTACGAATCTCAAATACCCATACCTCCTACAATCTTCTATTGCCATTCTTGTCTTGCCATGTCACTTTCCATTCACGCTGCGTCTCATGGCTATCGTTACAGGGCCCCTTCCAATCTCGTTGCGTGTGCTCAACCACAAACAGAGGCTCAGAAAGGATGAGATGCGGCCCTTCCCGAGCGCTGGCCCTATTCAACTGCAACCGAGATTCGCCGCTATCAAGGAAGGCCTGGCGGCTGGGAAGGAAGCCGCGCTCGCGGCTTCATGGGGCCGGCTCCTGCGTGATCTTTCCAAAGAGGTCGATCAGGTATCACTACTAGGATCTGGTGCCATACCGATCATCGACTTCACGAATATCACAAGTTCCGCACAGGCAGAGAGTTTCTCAACGCATCTCCGCGAAAGGGGAGTGGGCATTATCCGGAATGTGGTTTGCCGGGAGACAGCTCTCGCCTGGAGTCAAGATGCAGGAGAGTACATTGACCGGAATTCGCATACGAGATCCTCGGCGCCAAAGCATCTGCAGCTGCATGAAGTCTACTGGAGCACAGCCCAAGTCAGGGCACGAGCCCACCCGAACCTCCTAGCCGCACAGAGGTTTGCGATGAGTATATGGAAGTCCAAGGACCCGAATGCCAGGGTCACCAGCTATTTCCCCGTCGCATATGCCGATAGACTGAGGACATGGACGAGCATTACTGCTGACGTAACCAACAATGCACACATTGACGGCGGCAGTGTCGAACGCTGGGAACCTGATGGGTATGGCCGTGCAGGGACATATGAGAAGATATTTCAAGGTCGTTGGGAAGAGTACGACCCTTGGGAAGTATGTTACTTGGCATCCATTTCCCAGTTCATCTTATCCATCATCACCCCTGAAGAAACAACACTCACTAACCCTTCTTTCCTCCTAGAGCAGCACCCGACTCGGCGTAACAAGCGATCTGTACCATAAAGCTGGCGCCTGCTCCATCTTCCGCATGTTCCAAGGTTTGCTGGCGCTCGACCACATCCCGTCGGGCGGCCAGGGCTCGGTACGAGCCTGCCCTCTACCCCGTCTCGCAACCGCCTATGTTCTCCTACGACCCTTTTTCTCCTCATCCTCGTCAAACCCGTCCGAAAAGCCCAGTCTCACAGACGGCTGGTCCTTCGCCCGCCCGCAAAATAGCATCCTCCACGGTGCCATTCCAAGCTACGCTCAGGAGATCAGCCCAGCGCTGCACCCGCACTTGCAGCTCGATCGCAGCCTTGTGCCCGTCCCCGATCTCCAGCCGGGCGACTATCTAATCTGGCATCCGGACTTGATCCACGCCATCTCCGACGGCGCCTACGACCGCGGCGGCGGCGGCGGCCCGCGGCAGACAAGTCCACGTCGAAACGCAACCACAAAGCCGATGTACATGTGCCTGCCAGCGTGCCCCCTGACGCAGACAAACGCGCTCTACCTGTCCCGCCAGCGCAAGGCCTTCTTGCTGGGGCATCCCGGGCCAGATTTCGGCGGGGGTGCAAGGGAAAGCGACCACCCGGACCGGCCCGGCGTGCAGGAGGTGAACGATGCTGGCGGCGACGAGGGGCTGCGGGCCATGGGGCTGTTGCCGTGGGACGAGGAAGAGGCGGACACGGATGAGGAGCGGAGAGTGCTGGCTATGGCGAACGGGATATTATTCCCGGATCTGTACGATATGGTCTAGGTGTGGAATTGATATGGATAGGTATTGTACATAAGGTATGTAGGGCTTGATACGAGCTGATAGATGGGGGGTTGGGGTTGTGTACTGTTTATTGATAGACTGCATTCTTCTGGGTGCGATAAGAGTACAAATACATTAAATTGGCATTCATGAGCACCCTCTTGGGGTATTTGCCGCAACACACACGGTCAACCTTCTCAGATGATTCCTATAATACCCACAACCAACTCCTCAGCCCACCATATGCACGTTGCATACACGTATGCCCGGACAAAGCAAAACCTGTCATGTCCAGGTTGACACGATCTACCAATCAGGGTTTCTCTGCGTCCTGTGACGGTGCTTTTTTCGGTCTCTGCCTCGGCGTGCCGTCGTCTCGCTTCTCCGCCGACGCAGGAATGCAGAGCGATTCGAGGTCATCCCAGATGTCACCATCCTACTTGGACTTCTTGGGCGTGCCGTCTTCCTGGGTCCGGCCGTACTTCTCAGCCAGCTCGTCGTATTCCTTGTGCAACCCGGCGGCCTGCTTCTTGAGCGTCTCAATGTCCTGGTCGCGCAGCTTAACCTCGCGCTTGAGGCGGGAAATCTCGCCCGGGTCGCCGGCCATGGCCAGCTTCTCCGACTCCTTGGTGTCCTTGGCGGTGCCCTCGTACTTCTTGAGCTTCTCCTCCAACCGCAGCACCTCGAGGATCATGATGTAGGTCCGGTTGAGGATCAGCGAGAGGAACAGCGTAAAGCCGCACAGGTACATGTTGCGCTGCGAGTAGAACTTGCGGGCCTGGACTTCGAGCCGCTCGTGGCCCATTATGGCCGGCCTGCTTGCGCACGGTTAATTCTGCCTTCTGCAATTTGCATCACTCGCTGTGTAGTTTGTGGCGGGGACGTACCCAGCGTTGCCCGAATTCTCGGTAGCAGCCGCCAACTCAACTTGAACGCGATAAACGCGGTTGACGCTGTCGATGAAGAGAATCAAGATGAAGACAAAGGTGATCTTAAGCCAGTACTGCACTTTCGCAACGATGGGATTCTCCGAGATGAAGCTGGGCAACCAATTCGTTAGCTCGTCCAACGGTGCATGGTAGTGCTGCTTGATTCGGCATACGTGAATATCTTCCGACGCATCGCGAAGGGCAGGGGAAGGATGAGGAGCACAAAAAGGCCCATCTCTGCCACGAGGAGCAGGAAGACCTTGGAGCGATGGTCAGCATCCTCTCAAGAACTTCGAACCGAGGAGAGGTAGCGTACCAAGGTGTAGTAGAGCGTCATTTTAAAAAGATCTTTGGTGGTTATCAACAGCGGCCTGCAATGTCAATCTCGCGATGTTTTGATTTAGTCTGCAACGTCGGTGAGCTTTCGAAGAGGCCAGGTTGCCGCCTAGATAATAGGCGGAAGAGTGTACTGTGGTACGACAGGCTGTGACGTGTTGGTGTGGAAATGCGGTGGGCTGCTCCCTAAAGACCAGGGTAGGAATCAACAACGTCATTGCCCGGGATTGAAGGCAGGAAGGAAGAGCTGCCGCCAAGACAGCCTGACAAGAGTTGCACCGTATAATACAGTGGTTATTGTACCGTACCAACTTGACTAACTTGAAGTACTTCAAGACTGGGGCTGCAGCAAGCTTTGTCTTATAAGTTCTCAGCGAAAGATTTTCTGAATGTAGAACTGGGTAGTACTCCTACCTATTTGGCAGCCCATTCAGAATCCAGGCTTGGAGCAGACCGAAGAGCCAGGGAGTTCCATCCGCGCTAGGCCACGAAGTACTGTACTGCATGAACTGGCATACGGAGTACTCTGTACTGAAGTTGACGCGAAATGCATCGAGTTGCACGGTCCATCTGGAGAGGATCTGGAAATCGCACCGAGCTTCCAAGCTTGCAAAATATCTCTTAACTAACTTACGCTGCTGGTATCCGTAAGTGTGCTAGTCAGAGGGAGGCCAGTGAGCCTGGAAATATCAAAGTCGTTCAACATAACGTTACTGAGGTTTATCCCGAAACTTGCGCGCCTGCCTGGTTGCCTAGCCCTAACCCTGTATATGCGAGCCAAGGCTGGCTGACGAAGGCAACTTTCCAGGACGTCGGGACGGCGTCCGGAGTAAAGCGAATGCTGGCTTATGCTAAGAGAGTTGCGAGGGTGGGTGCTCCGGGCTGTTCTGTATTCTTGACAACATTAAGCTACGTTTCCTTCAACAGGCGCCCCTCAAGACCTCTTTGTAAGTTCCCACAACTTTACAGTTTCCTTGCCTCAAGGCTCAAGCCAAGCTCGACGGTCACCCCCTGGGGGTTTCCGAGAATTAATTAGACTGCATGCTACCTTTCATACACGTGTAGCCACGTAATTCTCCGTTTCCTGCTTCGTATTAGAAAGGGCTTCTGACTCGTCTATAACGCAACAAGGAGAACCCGAGAATGATCAACTTTTCTCCGAGCTCGTGTAAGCGGGACCAGTTGAGCCTGGTTCGGGGCTGAAGGCAATGCCTGAGAATGAGGCGCAGACCCCCACGACCCAGCCCCCTCCGGGCTCGCCATTGGCAAAGGCAGCTGCTAGGTATCCAAAGATGCTCTGCTGTTTGTGTCGGGAATCAGCCCAGCCTCGGATTCGAGGCATGCTTTCGCTTTTCAAAGCCTGTGCTATGTCGGTCTTATCCGCTTCAGGGCATGATGGGGGTCCGGGAAGGGAACTCGTTGCTGGATCGTACCGCCTCGCTGGGCTTGCATGAAGCGAAACACGGTTCAACAAATCAGTGTCAGTTTACTCTATGAATACCGAAAGCCAGCCGCTCAGATCCGTTCCGAATCTTTCATCCCATAGTCTCCAGTAGAAATGCAATAAGGCGTGAGGCTCTCCTTCCTCTTCCTTTTCTTTACAGAACACATGTTGCCCGGTTCATCGTCTCGCTGGATACGGCCGAACTCGGATCTCAGTATTAATGTCCTCCAAGCTTGCTCACACAAGGAGCCGTCACGAGATTGTGGCCCAGTGACACTGTATGACTTGACTGGCACCAAGTTGATAAGCCAAGTCTAATTCGTTAGTAGTACCCTCGGGTCCTCGCCAGCCAGCTGTGCCTTCCTCTTTCTTCCTCTTCGCCAGAACAAAGCCGCTCTTTCCTCACACACCAACCTCACCTGCCATACGAACGAACAGGCAGCTCGACACTGACAGCAGTCAGCCAGGCGAAGACAAGGAACCCAGCAGATTGGAAGAGACGGAGAGGGAAAAGACAATAGAGTGAAGAAAATGAAACTCAAATCCCTCCTCGCTGTGCTCTCACTGGCAGGTATCAACCTGAACCTGCTAGCGACGGCAACACCAATATCTTGCTCCGACGTGCGTCGCCCCCCACCCAAGCTAATACCGGAAAGCAACCGTGACAAACTCCAAACTAACCCAAGGGCTGCACAGCTAAAACGCGACCTCATTCTCAAAGGCGAGCTTCCCAAGGAAGCCTGTTGCAGCTACGGCCGCTGCCTGGGCGACGTGGTGATTGCCATGGCCTGAACTCGACGGCAGACCTGAGTTAGGGATGAGGGGCAACAGCCGATCCCGAGCCATCTCGCGAGCCTCATTTTCGATTACCAGTTACACCCACTCGTTCACATCTTCGGTCTTTTGGCGCGGCATGGCGGAAACTGCGGCGCGCATCATACGGTCAACCATCGGGTAGAGCATCGGCCAAGGGGGATAGGGTTCACGGGGCTGCTAGGCACGGCGCAATGTGGGATAAAACTGTTTGGACCGGTGAAATGGCGTTTATTTTCTATAAATCTCGAATCAAGGTCTGGTGGTGTTGAGGAGTCTGCTTTTCGGGGCCGGTACTACAGGCACGGTTTCTTTCGGCATCAGTACGCATGGTGCAGTGTTCTGCCATGAGGAAAGGGAGATGATGCCGTTACATAACACGATTCCGACTGTTGATGTCCACCCCTCAGTTGAGCAGCGCAAGATACGGTGCATCTCGACAAATGTTCACCAGACGAGCATCGAAATAGAGGCGTTGAGTTATCGCATAATTCCACTACATACACATGTAAGGATGACAACTCAGCAGAAAAAGGACATCTCTCGTGGAAGTGATTTTGAAATGATAGCATCGCTGTTGAACCAGTGGACCCGGCTCAGCATCCGAAACTCGGGGGAAAGCACTGCCGTTGATTGGCGCGGGTGAAACGGCCGCGGTAAGCCCCATCCGAACCTTCGGTGTTGATATGGGCCGAAATAGGGCACTTTTCCCCTCGGGAAACAAGCGCAAGCGCGAAGAGACGGCGAGATTTCCACAACGATGCCCACCTTGGGGATATGGCGTTGTGGATTAGCGGAAAAAAAGATAGCGGCTCGACTCCAATTGTAGCCACTCATAAGGCCCATGGTTCTGGTTTCATTGGATCGTGGCCCTGCAGCGAGGGGCCTCAGGGGCGAAATACCTATCAGATACGACCTTGCATCACCGGGTGGGCCTAAGCCGTCTACAAAACACACTGATATCCTCCTGAGCCTAGAAGCGACTGGTGGACTAGGCCCTCATCATGTGCATCATGTGAGCCCCCGCGTATCCACGCGGCATCGGCGACGACAAATGTCCAGTTGGCAATCTCGAAGGCGCGGGTATAAGACGCGGACCCTTCCCCCTTCCCCCGCGCTACCCCGCCTTCCATACTTCGAACGCTCATTGAAATTTAACGTCGGCGGTAAATAAACGTCCCGGGACTCCTCGTTCGTGCCGCCCCTTCTTTCAAGATGAACGGCACAGTAAAAGCGGTCAAGCCTAACATTGGCGTCTTCACGAACCCGAACCATGACCTATGGATCACCGAGGCGGCGCCGACGTTGGAGAGCGTCCAGAAGGGCGAGGAGCTGAAGGAGGGGCAAGTTACGCTCGCCATCAGGAGCACGGGTATTTGCGGGTAGGTAACGTTCCCTTTCTCCGGCATCTTTGTCCGATCCCGGCTCGGCTCACGGTTATTTACTCTCGCACGGCAGGTCAGATGTCCATTTCTGGAAGCACGGGTGTATTGGTCCCATGATAGTCTGCGGCGATCACGTCCTGGGCCACGAGTCGGCCGGTGAGGTGATCGCTGTGCACCCGAGCGTAACTAGCCTCAAAGTCGGGGACCGGGTCGCTGTCGAGCCGCAGGTGATTTGCAACGAGTGCGAGCCGTGCCTGACGGGACGGTACAATGGCTGCGAGAAGGTTGATTTCCTGTCGACTCCGCCCGTGCCGGGTCTGCTGCGGCGCTACGTCAACCACCCGGCCGTGTGGTGCCACAAAATCGGAGACATGTCGTACGAGAACGGAGCTATGCTCGAGCCCCTCTCCGTGGCACTCGCCGGGCTACAAAGGGCCGGGGTCCGGCTGGGCGACCCTGTCCTCGTCTGCGGAGCGGGCCCCATCGGCCTGATCACGATGCTCTGCTGCAAGGCGGCGGGCGCGTGCCCGCTGGTCATTACCGATATCGACGAGGGCCGGTTGAGCTTCGCCAAGGAGATTTGCCCCGAGGTCATCACCCACAAGGTCGAGCGCATGTCGGCCGAGGATTCGGCCAAGGCCATCGTGTCGAGCTTTGGGGGGATCGAGCCGGCAGTGGCGCTCGAGTGCACGGGAGTCGAGAGCAGCATCGCGGCGGCCATCTGGGCGGTCAAGTTTGGCGGCAAGGTCTTTGTCATTGGCGTCGGCAAGAACGAGATTCAGATCCCCTTCATGCGGGCCAGCGTCCGCGAAGTGGACCTGCAGTTCCAGTACCGGTACTGCAACACCTGGCCCCGGGCCATCCGTCTTGTCCAGAACGGGGTCATCGACCTGTCCAGACTCGTCACACACCGCTTCGGGTTAGAACAGGCCCTCGACGCTTTCAACACGGCGTCTGACCCAAAGACTGGCGCCATCAAGGTGCAAATCCAGAGTTTGGAATGAGCGTTGCCGGCAGCATGTGGGGTTAGAGATGTGCAGCATCATGGGTGCTGGGTAACTCTTGAATTACCCCCTTTCCATTGAATCTTCGTTAGAGGTTGCAATTGTTCGAGTTATGTCAAACTTATTGTGTTTACATTTTATTTGCGATAGCCCGATAGAGTTGATTTGCATAACAAAGGATACAAGTAAAGGAATTGTGGCCAAAGATTTGACCGGTCCATGTGTGAGAACGAGAGCAAGAGTGTCAGGACGTTATTTAGTCCGTAGGATGTGCAAGCATTGGGGCTGATGGTGCTGTGAGTCTGTGACAGACAGGGGCCAAAAGCTCTTAGCCCCACCTAGCCGCCAATTGGCTTTCTGATAGGTCGATGGGCCGCTTGCTTGCCGAGAATCTGGGCAGCGTAGCTCGTTGAACGACTTGTCGAAAACTTCCGAGCTTTTTCATTTTTTTCTCGATTTCCGAGCCCCGTCCTATCCCCAACGTTGCGCGATATCGTCACCTCGCCGCCGAAGCCAGCTCATTGCACGGCCGCATTCCCAGACCTCCCTTCGGCCGCAACCCCCCATCCCCCTTCTCCGCTCCGCCCGCCGAAACCGAAAAAAGAAAAAGACAAAATCAATCGGTCTACCATGTCCTTCACCCTCGTCATGAGGCGATCGGGCCTCCCGATGGGCCGCCGCATGCTCCGTTTCGAGTCGACCACTACCAGCACAACAGCAAACAAGGCCGCCGATGCCGCCAAGCAGACGGCTTCCCAGGCCTCGTCGTCAGCATCGGAATACGCTTCCAAAGCCCAGCAGGGCCTGTCGCGCGTCACGTCAGCCGCCGGACCCGCCATTGCCGGCGTCGCGAAGGGTGTGACGGGGGCTCTGGGCCGCGTCGGTGGTCGGACAGGACGTCTGGTTGCTTTTGTCGAACGTATGAGCACGCCGCCCTCCCCGAATTGAAATCCCTCCATTGCACCGCCCGTGCAGAGAAGACGGGTGTAGTGGCTTCTGTTGCGACCTCTGGTTTCGTGGCACCAACGGCTGACTCCATTCGCATCTGGTTGCGTTCTCTATTTACAGACCAGGTTCCTTCAATCATCTACTACTCCAAGGTCGGCGCCGAGCTGGCCAAGCTGGTCTTCAAGGGCCAGAACATGACACCGCCGTAAGTTGGCCCCCACAAGTCAAGGCGCGCATACGAGGAAGGGTTCCCGATGGGGGGATGAATACGGGCCTGTTCAGCTGCCGGTGTTGGGGATGGCTCGTTGACGTTGGATCCGCAGGTCCGTTTCGACCTTCCAGACCTACTTCCGGAATCTATGGAAGCAAATGCAGAACCCGGGCGCCTTGGCTCAAAGCATGCTGAAGTCGGCCAATCCCCAGCAAGTGCGGAACATCTCGAGGACACAAGTCGTGGCTGGCGGTGTACTCCTGGCCGAGTGCCTGGGCTTCTTCACCGTGGGCGAGATGATTGGCCGGTTTAAGCTGATTGGCTACCACGGCGAGGTGCATGCTCACCACTGAGTCGGGCTCCTGGAGATGGGAGGAAGCGAGGGGTGTTGAATTGAGAACTTCACCTTTCCCCGTACCACTGGCCAGGAACCGCGTTCTTCTGGCGGCGAGCAGTTAGGGGAGGGACGAAGCTGGAATGCAAGGAGGCAGAGTTCTGTTTCGCGGGATAGATGTGATGGTGTACCGGAGTGTTCCGGTTCCTACTAGATCCGCCGACCCATCGGTACGGTTACACCTTGACCCGACAGCAAGAGAGACATGGCCGAGCTCCGGGCCAGCTAAAGCGCGTCCACCCATCCCGCCAAAACGAGTGTGGTGGTATGGTTTCTGTCTTGGCTTGGCCGGATGGGGGACGACCACACGGGAGAGCAAGCGACGAAAAGGTGTCGAGATACCCGCCCTTTTCCCTTGTCCCACTTGTATATCTTTCTCCTCTTTGCGGCTGCCGAGGGCTGGTGTTTTTCATTTGTCTGTCGTCCTGTACAACTACAAACAATTGCATGAAAGCCAATCAAATCAATTACCCGACACCAGTTTGCCAATCATGGCTGCTGTCACATCCGGGTTCTGTGCCCTCTGCTGTCCTGACGTCTGCTGCTGAACGTGGGCCGCCCTCTTTTTCAGATGTTCTGGGCTTTCCAGTGTGTCCTATCCTCTGAATCCGCACAGTTGTGAGACTGAGATATGATATGGGCTTCCCTACGGCTTTCTGCCAGTTCGCGTTTTGTAGACCTGCGAGCCTGACCGCGAGCCTGGCTGGGAGCCTTCTACTTCCCGAGGCGGGCGTAGGGTTGAGAAGGTTGAGGATGGGAGAACAAGCTGGACTGGGACCGTTACAGTGGTACCGCGGAGGGTGATGAGAAGAGGGGGGAGAGTTGACCAGCGGATCTCCGTTACCTTTAACCTGCCATTTCCTTCTAGGAATAGGGAAAGACCAGGGCGTCGCCCGGTTGTCACCACCTCAAGTTCCTTTCTCTCTGCCTCCACCTCTCTCTCTGCCTCTCTCTCTCTCTTCTCTCTCTCTCTCTCTCTCTCT